GAGAGTCTTGAACTTGTTTGACAGCCAAAGCTTCCATCTACGATACTCTTTGTAGTCCTCCGACTCGCCAGAAAAGTAGCGAATCCCCCCAGAGCTCTCAGAGGAGGAAGCTCCGGAGGACATGGATGCTGTGCTCGTTGTCCCTCCTGGGACTTGAGTGAATTCCAGATTGCCGGTTTAAGCGGACCGGCTCCGCTACCAATGTTATTGGCAGTAGACCCAAAATGGATTCACCTGAATCCTTGCCACGACCTCCAGGTCAAACGCACGGACTCTTTCTCCACTCCATTGCGCTCGTGACTCCACGAAAGGTTCCTAAAGGGATTTGGGCCGCATGGCCAGATGAAGCAATGAGGTACCTGCAGGATGCTGTGGCACTAACACATATATACATATATACATATATACATATATACATATATACATATATACATATATATATATATACATATATATATACATATATACATATATACATATATACATATATACATATATATACATACGGGAAATCTGGGATATATGGAAAATATATGAATATATATATATATACATCTAAATTTATAGTAGCCCACAACCGATGCATAATGACTGTGGATATCACCCATCCCCAGAGGGAAGGGATTGGGGAGTCACCCGGGAGTCCATGTCAAACCTTAGAGACCCGTCAGAAAGGTAAGTGAAGTACAGTCTTTCTGACAGAAATGCTGAACTCCACGAAGCTATGAAACATTTACCAAGGTTCAGCCAAAAAAGGGACGGTTCACCATGATCTACGTGAGGTTTGAAGCTGCAAGAACTTAAAAATCTCTATCCACCAATCGGTTTATATGGGTTTGTCCGGAAACCCACTAGTCAAATTGGGTGATCCTAATATTCCCAACCAAATGAGATTAAACGGCCATATTATCATATCGGGTGAATGCCATCAGACACTCCCACGCAGCCGCTGTCAGTCCTCTTCCAAGTCATAGCCCCTGCGTCAGGGACAGGTCAGTGGCCCCTGCAGTTTGTTGTTTCACCTAGGGGCTTCCTCCAAGTACGTGGCTTTTTGATGCTCTTTGGTTTGGCAGAGTAACTGTTAGTAGCTTATCTTCATGGAATCTTCGCAAAAAAAAATGTTTCTTGAAAAACTATATCACAACATATCACAACAATTGGGGTCCGGTAGCTTCCTTGGATCCTAGCTGCCCGCCCTGGCAGAACTGGCAGGGGCTTTGGGGTCCGGTACTCATTGGTTGAAGAGGAAAATCACCCGTGAAAAAGATGAGAACCCTAAAAATCGACCCACAGCTTTGGGGATGAGAGAGGTGAACTGGACACTTGGGTATGGGTCCATACCTATAGATACATTTTTAGTGGGATGAACATCCATTTACCAGCTATAGGGGTTCACTAGGTACCAGGGTTTTGACCCATCCCCACTTCATCATGGCCGTTGGTATATGGGGTTTCGAAGATGAATGTTCTTATTTTTCTCGATGCAAATCCGCCAATGTTCGACCGTCTACCAAGCATCATTCAAGCTTCAATGCGGCTTACTTACATTATATTACATTCCGTTGCACCTATGCTTTATTGTCGATCCCACTGTTTTGTAATTTTTTGTGATACCAGTGATACCAGTGATACCAGTGATATCTCATGGCCGGCCCCATGTCCCCATGGTGTCCCCATGGTGGCCCTCGTGGCGATCGCGAAACGATCTGCACCTGCAATCGCTCCACACGGCTTGCGGCCGCCAGGGCGGAAAGCCCACGAAGACGCGGCGGCCTGGATTGGTGGCAAAATCATTGGTTGTCGTTAGTAGATGTTGATTAGATGCTGATTAGTGTTTATGATAAAATTGGGTATGATGTTGGCTCATGTTGATTCATGGGCTAAGACGATCATTATTAATCATTATTGATCGTGGAGGATCATCACTCCAAATGGGATAGGAAAGAATAAATAAACAATGAATCATGGGAAAGAAATGACAAAACAAATGATGGTTCGAAAAGGGGTACCACAAAGAAACAAAATACCTTGCTAGAAATCTTACCACATTGGCCAACAGGTTTAGTTGGGAAGACCATGTTAAACAAATTTGTCAATAATCGCTTCACCAAGCACAACGAACCCCCATTGCAGGAGTATCTGCTAGTAACTCGGAAATAGTGACCCTAGTGACCCATTGCTATTGGGGAAACATGACCAAACAAAGCTGGGATCAACTGGGATAACTGGGTATATCATGTTCGACAGCAATGATATAACCATGATATAACCAACAAGAATTGGGATTCTTCACAAACAAGAATTGGGTATGAAAAACATCAATCCTGCAGGTAAAAACGAAACGGAAAATAGAACCAACCAGATTGGGATATAGATACATATGTTACATATGTATACATATGTGGATATCGAGTATGGCAATCGAACATGGAGGTATAACCAGCAAACAATGATAGATACGGGGCCGTGATTCAAAATTTGAGGCCCACTTTTCACAACAGATTTGGCCATGGATCATACACCATCATTTTTTTGGTAGGGCATGAATCGGCATACAAGAATGGGAACAGAATGGAGCAGAGAATATGTTCAGGAATGTTCAGGATATTTCGGGTAGATGACCAAACAAACATAGAAACTTCACCAGCTCTCTCCGAAAAACAAAAACTCCCGCCAGGACCTCCCAGCTCCAAAGCTTGCAAGCGTTCTCGAGAGATGTAGGCCTCCTGCGGTGGCATTTAGTATGGCAACATGGTGGTCAATCAACCATTAGAATAAGCAGAAATAACACGGAATAACCCTAACTAGAAACACGGCATGTCAAACGACCTGTTGGATCTTGGCCAAGCAGCATTGCATCACCAAGCAACGCGCCATGAGGCGCAGCCACCAGCATAATGGCACTGTGGTACTCAGGAGGTCCAGCCACAGTGCGCCACAGTACGAGTTTTGGATCAACTGTGGGTATCACAACCCGTCTCTTTTCTCGTCTTTTCTCGTCTTTTCTCCTAACTGCAAGTGAGTTTTCGACGTACCCAGCAAGCGTTGATCAAAGTATCCCTTTTAATCCATTTTAGAGCTTGATACCATTGTAACATATTGTAACTGTACTGGGGGTGCAAGTAGTTTCGATTCACCAACCACTTCACACAAGGACTTACGTCCAGCAGTGGCAACGTGTGACTTGATCAGTGGTGGAAAGTGCCATGCCCTGATGGTTTGACAATCATCTTCCCAGAAAGCCAAAGTGTATAACATCACATGCCCATGAAGGAGCAGCTTTTTCTTTGTTGCTGTTCAGTTTATTTTCAGATGTGATATATATATGTGTGTGTGTGTGTCTTTCAGCCATCTGTGGATCATAGTGCTCTGATTTCATATTTGGAAACGTCCAACGTCGAAGCCCTGGGGCCCGAATGGGTTCTTTTCGTACGGTGTCCATCCCCAAAAGGATGTGTTGGCGTAACGGGACACCTACACTGGCTACCCTCTGGTAATTTAACATAGCTATTGAAAATTGCCATTTATAGTGGATTTTCCCATTGATAATGGTGGTTTTCCATAGTTATGTTAGTTTACCAGAGGGTAATGGACATAGTTCCCCTCTTAGGATTCAACTGACATCTGCAACGGGTTCATAAAATCCCCGGCTTCACCAGTGGATGTCTGTCTCTAGCTGATGGGCATAACGGCATTTTTGCCCATTCTTGCCCACAAATTCCCCGTATGTGCTAGTTGATATCCGCGTCATCATGGTTTACTAACCTCGAATACTGCCCAGTATCCATACTTAGCAATTAGAAATCCGCCCACACCGCTTTGGCGGTGAAGGTGTGCTTATTGGGGGGCAAAACAGCAACACTAAATGCTCAATGACATTTGTTAATATAGCAGTCGCTATATCAGCTTTAGCTGGGGGGGGCAAAAACGGTTTCGCACCGAGACCAGAATACGGTGGTGTTTTCGACATTTTTCGAGGATTTTTGGGTGTCTGAGCGCAAGAGGGTATTGAAATGGAATTTTGGGTCATTTTGGTAGCTTTCCGGCAATGGAAAAACGGCCAAAAATGAAAAAAACATTGTACATAGCAAGATTTTGCAAGGTTTTTGGATGCCAGAGCATTGAAAACACTGCAAAAACAAGTGTTTTGGACTGACGTTATAGCAAAAAACGTGTAAATTACCGTATGCTTGACTGGAAACATTACAAAAACACTGTCAAAAGCAATGTTTTGGAAGGATTTACTGCCTTTATGGCAAAAAACGTGTAAATTACCGTCTGTTTGACTGGAAACATTGGAAAAACACTGTCAAAAACAATGTTTTGGAAGGATTTCTTATATATATGTTGGAGTTGGCTACCGGCATTGGCACATGGAAAAATTGAAGAAAACACTGTAAATAGCGGTATTTTCAACGGTTGGGGAGATAAGGGAATTGGAAGCATTGTCGAACATGATGTTTTCGACCGGTTTTATGGCGACAAAAGTGTAAAGTACCGTGCTTTGAAGGAAACCATTGCAAAAACATGGAAACACATTCAAAGAACACGGGATTTGGGGGACTATCTAGGCGTCGTTGTCTAGCTATTTGAAATTCCGCAGCTTGGAGAGCCTCCAAGGGAGGGAAAAGTGAAAATTCCATAGGTTGGGAAGCTGTCACGGCGGGGAAAAGTGAAAATTCCCTAGCTTGGGAAGCCCCCACGGGGGGGAAAAGTGAAAATTCCCTTGGGGAGCCCCCATGGGGGGGGAAAGTGAAAATTCCCTAGCTTGGGGAGCCCCCACGGGGGGGAAAAGTGAATTGGATGTTCACTAGAACGGAGGGTTAGCGTGTTTTGCTACTGTCATTTTGGGCTCAAGTCTTTGCCCATTTTGATTGTTGGATACTGACGAAATCGTCATAATGCCCATTTGCAATTGGGCGCTCATATTAGGGCTAGTTTCCAGTGTAGGTTCCCCTTCTGTGTATGGCCTGCCATGGTACCTGGATGTCTTTCATGGGATGACTGGATCTAGGGAGGAAGAAGTCACCAATGGGAAAGATCAACCCGAAGTATCAGAAGGTCAGTCCGATCCCACGAAGGAAAGTTCTCAATCTGGAATCCCGTTTGAAGGAATAGCCCATGTGTGGGGATACTCTGTCCTCCACTTTGATTTCCGTTCATGGATAGGCTCCTCATGGTTCAGCACACCAACAGCACCTGGAACCCTGAGCTCCTCAGGAGGGTGGGGATTGTACTTCTTGGATCAGCTGGGGGTGTGGACATGCGGAGATTTTTGGCCATGGGTTGCCAGATGTTTGTTAAGTGCCATCGTGGTTTTGGGAGCAATTTTGATTCTCTACTTGCTATTGGTTATCTGCCGGCCCTGTCAAGCTTTCTGCAAATGTTGCTGCAGACAGACCAGAGCAGTAGCCAAAGAGGTGGGGGAGCTCCTCCCCGAACTTAGACCTGGGGGCACATACGAAAAGCTGGATATCCGTGGACCCGCCTCTAGCGGGGGCGTCGATTCCGAATTCTACCAACGAGGCGTCAAGGGTCGAGGTTCAGAAAGAAAACCCAATGACGTAGCTGTTGTGGTGAATGACCAAATAGCTCGCTTGAAGGTAGACGGGGATCATTGGGCACGTGTGGATCGATACGGGTTATGGGTTCGTCTCCGTGGAGTGAAGGGTTCCACGTCGAAAGCGCTTCGCCAAACGTTGGAACAGGAGGGGAAAATCCATCTCTGTCGCGAGCAGCGGTGTCCGCTTGAATTGCAACCAACACCCGGTCTACATTGCAAAGCTTACGCTTCGGTGGATGCCAATGGGCTGGTGGATTTGGGAGCTTATGCAGGGTGGTCCACCCGCAGGGTGATCGTCTTGATGGGTCGATGGCTACGTAGAATGGTGCGGGGGCTTAGTCTCTGCGTGTACTATCTGACGGGATGGTTCATTCTCAGACAACTCTGGGCAAAGCGGACGCCACCCAGAACCATAGTCGAAGGAGCCGTCGTCAGACCCTTGGATGCGGAATCTGAATCTGAAGTAGAGGTACAAGATGACCCTTGTGAGGCCGTATTAGTCGGTTTGGAACATGGAGGCAAACCGAGAGCATTGGCCACAGACCCATGTGCAGATCGGGCTATCGGAGAGCCGGTCCGGCTCCTGGAGAGGGACAGAGAACTCTCTGACGTCAAAAGGAGATCCTCCGTCAGGCTTTGCGACCATCATCGGCAGCTCTACGTGGCGGCATGTTCAAGCCGAAAATGCAGCGTGTTGGCTTGCTACGAACAGGTTGATGGTGCCAAACAGGGAGTTCCCCTCTGCAAGCACCACCTGACGGACCTTGGTGGTTGTGCTCGCCCTACCCGCAGGGTTAGCTGGACACATGAGAGAGATAGCTCCATTGCACGATCCGAGGCATCTATGTCCGAAGGAGAATGCCTCACCCCTGCACGAAGAAGCCGCCGGATCATCTTTGACGGCGCTGAACGACTTGGGCCCAGGGCTGCTTCGGCCGATCCTAGTGAATCCCAGAAGAAGATTGAAGGCAAGCTTGAGAAGGGCCCGTGCATGGTGCTCCTCAGACCAAAGTCATTACAAACCGCGGAGGCCCCACCCAGGTGGACTGCATGGTTGGGGCGCATCGAGGGGTTCGCCGAAGAAGGGCGCAGCCAGGAGCTGCTCGAAGTCCACATCCCTTCCTTGAAGCAAACGTGTGTGATCCACAGAAGGCTGTTGAAAGGGTCCCCTCGAGACAACGGGGCGGGTCGAATTAGTAAGCATTGGGTGCAGAAGTTCCTTCAGCATACCCATGACGAAGAAGTCGGCCAAGGGATATCGGTCTTGGTCGCGCGCCTGTCCGAAGACCAAGCAGCGGCCCTGAATGCCTGGGACGGTGAGGTGACGGATGAAGGAGCGAAGCCAAGTAAAGCCTGGCAGGGGAGACTCTACCGGGAGATCCTCCCACATGCTGATGCATATTTGCGTGAAGAAGCTGAGATGTCCGACGACTTTATGACACCGCCAAAGCCGAAAGTCGAGCTGGAAGAGGGTGCGGGACCGGCGATTCCACCCTTCCCAGACCTAGATGATTCAGATCGCCAGGGAAGAATGGAGGCGGCTCGAAGAGCTCTTGACCAGCACATTGAGGGAGAGATAGATTCCGAAGTGTTGCAGACCGTGGCCACTGCCTTCGACCTAGATCATGAGCAACTGGCTCAGTCGATGTATGCGAGGAATCACCGCCTTAGCTACTCGAAGCCAACGACACCACCAGGATTGGGAGCCGACCAAAGCGAAATGGAGTTTGCAAGAAGACCCGTGACGGCAACTATGCCAGGAGGAGTGACCGTAAAGCCAGCAGTCCCCCGGCCGGCGAATCCACTTCTGCCGAGGAGCTCCTCCTCAATCTCCCCGGTCCAGAGAGGTGGATTGTCGCTCTTTCCCAAGGGGTCAGGCGGTCGAAACAGTCTCGTGAAACCAGCATCGGAGCAGATGCCGGAGGGCAGAGCAGGAGCCACGTTCGGAGAAGCCCTCGGAGACAGCACACAAGTCCAGAGCGCGGACCGCATCATTCACGCCATCGACGGTCTGAGAAGAGCACAGGATGACGACAAAAACCTCACGAAAGGGACCTTGAGTTCTATCAAAGAGGCGGAGAAGATGGACGTCTTCCTGGCACGAGGCTGTGGCACCCTGACCGTTGAACTCGCACCGGGAGTGTACGGGAAGGAACTTTTCCACGCGGGGAAAAGGGTGGCAAATCACGCTCGCCATATGCTGCACTTGATCAAATGGCCGGTGCTGATGACCAACAGGGTCCTACTTGGCATCGCTGGTCTGTGGTGGGGTGGCAAAGACACCTATACCTTGCACGCAAGTGACTGCGTTACCGCTCGGTCCGAGCAGTTGGACAGTTGGAATCCGTCCTCCGACAACAAGATCGAAAATCGCATGAGACCACCAGGAGTCTTCAACACTTGGCTCAGGTACGCGGAAAACTCAGTTCGCGTGTTTGGATCCTGCTATGGTACAGAGCATATCCAAGAAAGGCTCGATTGTCTCCAAGCCCTGAAGGAGGCCCATGAAGAAGACGAGCATGCCTTCCCAGCTGCCTACTGCATCGAGCTCTTTGAGGAACTTGTCGCGGCTTGGTGCGAAGAACTGCGAGAAAGCAGAAGGAAACTCTGCTCTCTGCTGGGGACCGAAAATCCACGGCTTGAAGACCTGAAGCTGCTAGCTTTGGCGCCGGGAGCGGATGGGCAAGCAAACTTCCAGTTTCCAAGCATATGGGATCTGGGCGACCCGAACGGATATTACCAGACAGTTGTGGTACCCAGGCAGCAAAGGCAAATGTCGAGGCTGCTCCACAAGCAGCTGCACGACCACAACCTCAAGCAGAAGAAGACAGCTGGTCCAGCTGAAGATGAAGAGCCAAGGACAGGGAAAGCCCCAAAGCTTAACCTGAAAGACAAAGAGGCCGATGGATATGCGGGCGGCAGCATGAAATCAGCCTACCCAGCTGGAAAACGGCTTACACAAGGAGAAGCTTCACGGTCCGTGGAGCACGCACCTAAGGATCCCAAGACCAACAAACCTATCTGCTGGGATGCGGCCACACACATGGGATGCACAAGAGGCGACAAGTGCCAGCACGCGCACGAGCCTTTGCCGGGATTGGCCAAACTTGACTACACAGTTGCCATGCAGGTCATTCGAAGAGGAGGACTCAAAGGTGGGCCGAAAATCGATCCCAAAGAGGTCGACGGAAGGGTCGCTCAGCTGCGAACCCAGGCAGCGGCGGATAAGGCCGACAAGATCCAACCTAGCAAGAAAGCGAAAGTCAAGCCCAAGCCAAAGGCCAAAGCTGGGAAGGAAGCTGAGGGTAAAGCTGAAGAAGACAAGGTTGGGAACACCCAGTGGGTCGCACCTGAAGACTATGATATCCCTCTGACCCATCTCGAGACTGACTTGCAAGAGAAGGTTCAGGGCCCAGATGAGGGCTGGCTGCGAATACCCTCACAACCCACTGAGCAAGAAGCCGCTCCGGCTTGGGATGACCAGAGCCAAGAGGAGCGGGAAAGGCTGAAACGATGGAAGTCGCTGGAGGAGAAAGGGGTTCTGGCGGCCTTGGAGTCGCCCACGGATTATCTCAGGTCCCATGTGATTGCACGCATGATGGCAGCACAAGATGAAGGATATGAACTGGAGCTGAACCGGTGTCTCGAAGATGCGGCAGAACATGGACATCCCGCGCTCTCTAAGGAAGCCGGACGTCAACTTGAGCTCCTCAAGCACGAGCCAAAAGCGGGTCACCAAGCGGATGTCGAATTTACGCCCATCACATGGGACGAGGGTATTGGTCATGGCCTGTTGAACTTTCAAGGAAACTTGTCGCATATCGGCTCAGTCACGGTCCGTGACTACCAGGATCGCTTGAACGCAAAAGACAGCGAGGTCCCACTGCAAGACGGGCAGTTGGAAGAAGAGCGCCAATGCCTGCCTCTTCATGTGGGTGTCGGGTTAGCGTTGGCCGATGATCCATCTGTAGAACTACGAGAGGCCGTAGCCAGAGCCAACCAGTTGAGAAAACATCTCTGGGATGAAGCAGTGGAGGCTCACGCACACCTTGGCGATCCGCCAGCGTGGATACCTGAGGGCGAGCACTTCTTGCGTCAAAACGTCCATGATTGCCTCTATCCTCACCACGAGAAAGACTACCGCGCCTTGCAAACCCTCACAGGATCCATGCTGCAAGGATACACGTTGGCGGTCCTCAGGATTTCCTATTTTGGTCGGTTGGAGGTCGACTTGCTCCACGGAGATGATGCTGGCAATGGGAAGCTAGTTTTCGTTACCATCCACCGGGGGCATATGCGCCTGCTTCTTCCACAACAGCCCCAGCAGCTGTTGGATCACCTGAGGACTGCAGACAAGGTCACCAGGGAACTTCAGGTTGAACATTGGAGGGTGATCTTGGACCAGAGCAAAGTGGAGGATCAGATGGTTCCAGCCAAGTCCCCCGCCTGCACAAGATGCCAGCAACAGCAGCAAAGGCCTTATCGTGTTGGTGAAGGATTCCCGTTGCCACCGGCTTCATTTGAGTCCTGCTTGCAGGATGATCCACAGGCTCTTCAAAACAGCGGTGTGCCTCTGCGAAAAAGGCTCGCCTTCGCCTATGGGCCAATTGGTCAAGAGGTGTACGCTGGATGGGCAGGATGGACCAAGGGGCTTCAGTACCAGGGGATCCCGTGCGGAGAACCCATTGAATACTATGAGGACCCGATCGAGCAAAAGGGCTTTAAGCCGCAGCATGATACCCGTGACCCGAAGGTCCGAGAACGATTGCTGGGATTAGCTGGTGCTCCACCAGGGCCCGATGTCCCCAACACTTGGCAGCTTGGAGTCGTTTGTACTTCCTTCTGCGACCACCAGCTGAAGAACGGTGGCAGCAGGACCTGGCAACGCCCACAAGGCGACGGCACTCGTCCCTCTGAAGTTCAAGGAAATGAAGACGCAGAGTTCGCAGCCGAACTTTGTACGGTTCTGGCGGACAACGGAAGAGTCTTCGCATTGGAGAGTAGCGCGCCGTCGGGCCGCTACCCCAAGATATGGGACCTGCCTTGTATGCAGAGGCTCCGCCGCCGCACCGGCGCAAAAATTGTCTCTATGGCTATGTGCGCTTGGGGTCTGGGACCGCCTGAGACTGAGGAGGGCCTGTTTCATCGCAAGCATTCTTGGTGGCTGGTCTCCCCAGAACTCTACCCATGGGCCTTGTTATTCCTTGGTAGGCAGTGCCCAGGAGTCGGCCCGACTCACCAGCACGCACCCTTGAAGGGACCCAGTCCAATTCCTCAAGTACCTCTCACTCGACTGGCACAGCAATACGCACCAGCTTTGTGTGCAGCCTGGGGTCTGGTAGTCCGAGCAGCCTTTGAAGAATGGAGCTGGACAACATATCTGCAAGAGCACAGCGTGCTCAAAGCCCTAGAGAAATGTTGGACCGAACTGGACGCACCCCCTTGGCCGGCTGATCCAGCCAATACGTTGGAGCGAACCCTTGGCCAACATTTGGCACCGGTGGTTGCTGGCCAAGCGGATGGACCAGGCCTCCCACATGGCTACACCTGTTCAGGATGCGAACTCCAACAGATGGTCTACCCTTGTACGTTTTGTGGGGGGGAGGGGTCTGTTTCCGATCCCGAAAAGCAAGCTGAGGGGCAGGGCACAAGGGCAGGCAGCGTCGACGACGCCAATGGCCAAAGCACTGCTGAGAAATACTTGGAGGTATGCCAGAGTGCTTACAGCAAGGAGGCAGTGAGAAAAGCCACAGAGGCAGGAAATGCGTTGTTGAGGGCCGCCGGCTCGGTGCCAAGAGCAGCTGAATTAGTCAACAAAGCGAGGCTGAGGAAGTATGGGGAACACTTCCAGAAGGCAAAGGAAGGAGCATTGAAAGGGCTCAGCCCCCTACACGAGCAATACTTGAAAGACTGTGTGCTCAAGGGCGTGCCCAGCCGAGCTAAGAGTACCCCCAAGAGAGAGAAGGCCCGAAACCACGGCTCCGTCAGGGGGCACGAGGAAGAGATGCTGCAGAAGGCATGGAAAGACGCATCTTATGGGGCGGTACTTCTGTGTTCCACAGAGACCGAGGACCAAGAAGAAAATCGGCAAATCGACCAGATACTGACCGAGAGCAAGGTGGCCGAGAGCCCTCTCGGCCGAGTGCCCAAGCAAAACCCCGACAGAACCATCTCAGCGGAAGGTCGTCCCATCAACGATATGCGAGCCAGGAATGCTTCGGGCTCCAAATACGACCACCCACCCGCCGCTCAGCCTAGGCACAGAGCAGTGGTCAGGCAAAGCCTTTGGTGGAGGGTGCGACACCCGAAGGTTCCACAGAGGTGTGCGAAACGCGATGTGCCAAGGGCTTTCAAGTGGCACTTCCTCAAGCCGGGCGATGTCCCTGAATTCTGCACGAGGATTCTAGGTGTGCTGATCCTGAGTCTGGTGATGGTGTTCGGTTGGGTAGGAGCGCCAGGGGAGTTCGTGATATGGGCCACCGCAGCCCAAAAGCACCACGGGTCGTTCCGACCATGCCATCCTCAATTCAACGATGTGGTTCCCTACACCAGCCGATGGCTGATGGATGACGGCGTGGTGGTAGAGCCACTAGTGGGGAATAGGATCCAGGGATCCCTGTCAGCAATGGATGCAGCTATGGTATCAGTCTGGGGCCCTGGAGCCATCAATCTCGACAAGCTCGCCGAAGAAGGCACCCCGGCAAAATCCCAGCTCCTGTGGGGCCTCCACCTAGACTTTGAAGAACAGGTTGTGGTCCTCCCGGAACCGAAGCGAATAAAGGCGAAGTATCTCCTAAGAGAGCCTCAGCTTCAAAGGGGGTGCCAACGAGTTCGTACCAAGCTGCTCCGAGAACTGGCAGGGACAGCGCAGTATTGGGCCGTCTCCGCCCCGGAGATTGCACCCTATCTACCAGTCTTTTACAGGCTCCTGCAGCAGGAAGTAGGCGATCATGAATGGGTGAAACCCAGGGGCTCCGAGAGTGAGCTAGAGGCTGCCTGGGCTGAGTTCTGGGATGCGCTCGATTGGGTTCGCCTCCAGATGGAAAAGCCTTGGGGAACCAGTTTCAGAGCAGCTTTCGGCAAGCTCCTGCCGTTAAGGGAAAGGCTCGCACTCCCTGGCATGGCCGCTTCGGCCCGATTCGTTGGAGGAGATGCCACGCTAACCAGGCTCGGAAGCACTGATTGGAAGGATAGATGCTACCACATGGCGGACAGCAGCAGATACGTCAGGGCCGTGAGCGAAGTCGTAGGGGGCGGAGATCACTTGGAGATCATCGGAGTGATGGAGCTTCTGACGTTCATTGTCCTGGCAGCGGCGCGGAAGGAAACCTGGCAGGGGCAACTGATCCTTTATGTGACTGACAACATGAATGTCAAAGCATGGTTACGTACCAGGCGCGCTTCAAACAGATACGTGAGGGCGCTCTTGCTGCTGCTCCAGCGGCTCGAAGCGGAGAATAGCTTCACTGTCGATGGAGCGTACGTCCGTACCTACCACAATACTCTCAACGACTGGCTGACAAGGGAGGATGAAGACAAGGTCCATGCGGAAATGGAAAGCAGTGGCTGGACCCGCCTCGAGCTCAATGAGGACTGGGAAGGACTCCTGCGAGAAGCCATGCGCCCCACGTTGAAGCTACCAGGGGAGAAGGGCCCGAGTGCAGCTTTAGCCATTCAGCTGGCCAACGAACAGCAAACCGTGCATGCCTTCCCCGCCAAGATCGAACCAAAGCCATTCAAAGGGGGACTCCACCAAATCCGGCTAGGGTCGGAACTACTGACGTTCGAGCTGGGGTGGGCCAAGGGCGGAGGATCGATCGCAAGCCAGGCGCAAGCTGACTGGATCGTCTGTGTTCTCACTCAAGACCCAAAAGGGCGGGAGGCAGACATCCTTCTAAAAACCCTCGCCAGAACTGATTGGAGAGGACGACTTATCGTTGACCAGCCCAGGGAGCTCTCTGAAACCAGCCGAAATCGCCTGATGCAGCTTCAGGTTCAATGGGGTCAGGCACAAGTGGTCGACTATCAGACTTCACACCACGGCAGCTTCTTTGCCAGGGCCAGAAGACTTTGGCTTTTTGGAGGAACGGCCGACGAAAAGGAGAGAGTTCAAGCATGGCGAGTTGCACAAGTCAACGAGTGTCAGATGTTACCTCTGCGATCCGCAGAGGAGTCAGGTAAGGGATTATGCCCGCCCGACTACCTTTTCACGAGAGAACCAAACCTCATCACCACCGGAGACAAGTGGCTTCCAAAACCAGTCGGCCACTTGGTTGACGTGCGCGCCGGCAGCAGGCACCTGGTCCATAGCACACGGGGCCCAGCTTGCGGACCTAGGCTCACAGGTGAGCGTCTCAAGATCCCAGGAGGCACCCTGTTGGAAGATGGGACGGGTCTGGTCCGTCCTCTCCTCCCAGAAGAGGTGTGGGAAATGCAAGGGGGCCTCGCAGAGGATTGGCGTTCCGCCGACTCGAAGAGAAAGGATCGCATGATAGCAGCTGCAGTCCGGGAGCCAGGCTGGCAAGTGGCTATGAGTCTCATGCAGGCTCTGACTGGAACCGATGGGAAGGCAGGAGTCCTGGACCCCGATGAGATCCAAGCCCACGAGCAACTAGAGGTCTGGCTGCGAGCGTGGGGGAGGAACCCGAAGGCTCCCTCTTCCGAGCTTTTCCTTACTTCGTGGAAAGAGCCACGTGTGGCAGTGGCACCCACTCATGAGTTCGTGGGAGCGACAACCCAGGCGAAAGCAGGCGGAGGCAAACGCACCACCGTGAAGCCAGCACTCAGTGAAGTGGAGAGGCTGGTCCAGCCCGCATCCAAAAGAGGCGGGACTACTGGGACCCCCCGCCCCCGAGGAGGGAGCACAGCAGAGCTTGACCAGGTAGCCATGGAAGCTGTCTTGGCCAAACTGGCTGATTCAACTCGCAGGGTCTATGCATCAGGCTGGAAGCAATGGGCGTTGTACAATGCCAGCTCGGGCACTCACCCGTTCCTTGACGGAGAAGAGCGCTCCGCTCGGACTGAAGACGAGCAGAGGTTGATTCGGTTTGTAGTATTTCTACATCAAGTCATGGGAAGGTCCATAGGTGGGGTCAGACAAAGGTTGTCAGCCATTCGTTATGCACATGTTGCGGCAGGATACCCTGATCCACTGGTCGGGCGACCTCGGTTGTGGGCAGCGGTTGCGGGTCTACAACGTTGGGAAGGCGCCCCAAAACGAAAGCTCCCTGTTACCCCCAACATGTTGCGATGGTTGGTCCAGCACTTGAAAAGTAGCGGTTTATCAGTTGTCGATCAAACCATGATCAAAGGAGCCCTTCTTACAGGTTGGTTTTTCATGATGCGGGCCAGTGAACTCTTGCCCAGTATCAATGGAGAAGACCCCATGAATAGGGCGCTCCGCCCAGCTGATGTTGCTTTCTTTTCGCATGGGCAGCCTACCATAGGCGCCAAGGCCGATGAAGTCGTAGTGCAGATTAGATCTTCAAAAACCGATCAGTATGGTAGGGGCCAAACACGGTCACACCACCGCTCCGGTGGAGATCTCTGCCCTGTTGAAGCCTTAGCCGCGCTACAGGTCCTACAGCCCCATCGGTGGCGCAGCCCTGAAGACGAGGCGCCTTTGTTCCGCTATGAAGACGGGACGGGGCTTGACAGAGAGGGCATCACCCATTTCATCAAGATAGCTGCATTGGCCGCCGGGTTTCCTGGCGAACTCGCTGGTTCACACTCACTACGTAAGGGGGGAGCCACTGCATTTTTCGCAAGTACTGGGGACTTAGAAAGGCTTAAGAGGTACGGTGGTTGGTCATCCGATGCTGTTCATGCTTACCTTTATGAAGATCATACCGCTCAGAAAGGGATTTCAGAAGGGATGTTGGGTACCAGCCTCATTACACTCCCCAGCCAAAAAGACCCCGGGGTCCGTAGGCATCCAGCGGTTGTTCCAACTGAACCCCAAGAGTCCTATCCTGGTTTATTGGGGGTCCCTCAAGATGAGTTATTCCATAACAGTCATGGAGGATCAAACCCTTTTAGCAGCCCAGTTGCCACGAAGCGAACATCCAGAGCTCCTCGAGGCTCAAACACCAATCGTGCATTTTCGTGGGCACCAGATCGTAAGGTATCGTTTGCAGTGAAGGCTGGTGCTATGGATGCTACTGATGAAAGTGCCGATGGGGGACGAAAGCCAGCAGCTCCAGATCGAGCCAATGCAGCGAACCTCTTTGTAGCAGCTCACCCAGGACTAGATCTTTATCAATTCCTGGGTGTTCCACCCGGTGCGACTCCAGCTCAGGTGCTCACCGCATATCGTCGCAGGTCCCGTGAGACTCATCCAGACCGCTTTGCAACTGCTGGGGAAGATGTCCAGAAAGCCAAAGGAGAGGAGTTTAAGATGTTGGGAATGGTCCGAGAGATCCTCTTGGATCCACTGATGGCCACTCAATACATGAGGTGGAGACAAGAGCAAATTGCTGCAAAGCATGGGCGAGGCCGTTCCCCAGTTGTTCCAGCTGGTGTCTATGCCAAGCAAGCTTCATCATTCCAACAAGCCAGATCAAGTTTTGATCGGTCCTCCACTCCTGCTGGCGCAGGAGCCAGCAGCTCGGGAGGAGCAGGCCGGGAGGTGCCTCGTAAACCGCCCCCCCCTTCACAGGGATATCCTGGAGGAGGAGCGCAAGGAGGACCGCCCCCAGCCAAAGCCCCTCCTGCTCCAGCAGGGACCGCGCAAAAGCCAAGGAAACCTCCACCGCCCGCGAATCCGCCTACTCCGAGCTCAAGTGCGAAGCCAAGGAAAGCACCGCCACCAAGAAATGATGATGGGAGGCCCAGAGGACCTACCACCCCACCAATGCAAAAAATGGCACCCACGCAAGCTATTCCAAAGGGAGCACCGCCAACACCGGCCAAGCATTTCCCCAGGGCGACCCAACCATACACTGGAGGGGGCATGGTGGACGATTTGCGAGTTCCTCGCATCGCACTGGCAGATGCAGGGGTGAAACGATCAGACGCTCCGTCTGAGTCTTGGTGGTCAGAGACGTCATCCAGATATAGGGCCCCTTCGAGCTGGTTGGAGCCCGGGTCTGAGCCTTGGGTCGAAGATGACCTTCCACCGGAGAGCACCGTCCCAGACAACGAGGATGACTATGTGTATGTTGAGGTGGAAGCTGAAGACGATGACATGCACATCCTCCAAGACCACCAATTCGATGAAGAAGATTGGGACGAGCCGGCATGGGAAGAGCTCCCTGAGGAGGGGACCGGGTCTGAGCAAGTCTTCCAAACCTTCGATCAAGCCGTTATGCAAGGACTGCTCCAGTTCATGGATTTCGTGAACAGAGGACGGGCCAAGATGCTGATTGAAGGTGCTCCACCTATGACTTCTGTCCCAAAAGAGGTCCGGGAGGCATGTTTGGGAGACCATCCGGGGCTTCTAAAAATGCATCCCAGCGCAAAAGCATGGCTAATGGCAGGGACGAAAGGTGTCGAATTCAAGAAGCCACCACCTCCTAAGCCTCCCATGCTTTCGGCTCCCCCAAAGGTGGCTCCGCCGCCACTTCCAAAGCCAGCTCATCCAGAACAGGTACCTGAGCCAAAGGAGCCGCCGAAAGCCCTAGCCCCCAAACCAGTTCCTCCAGTGCTGATGCAGAAGACACCAGCACCAAAGAAGCCCCCTCCGCCACTGCCAGCAGCCAACTATGCCATGCCGGCAAGAGCTATGGGACTCGGTTCAGGCGCAACAGCATCATCTTCTGAGGGCGCTCCGCCCACTGAGGTGAACCACTTTGGGTTTGACGAGTCTGAAGTCGACTATGGTGATGACGATGATCGAACCCCTGAGGAGAAGGCAGAAGATGAGGAGCTGCTCGAGAAGACCAAGACGAAAGTGGAAGCTTTCCTGCGAGCACCCCCAGAGATGAGGAAGACGCTTCGCTCCCAAGCATGGAAGCGGTGCAAGAGCAAACTGGAGGAGCTCAACTTTGAGTTCAGCACTCGTCCACTGCCCGAAATGCACCCAGGCAAATTCGAGAAGGATCTCAAGGATGGCTTCACCTATGCGGAGGCCAAACAACGCCAAAAGGGCCGGCAACGGGCCGCCCGACATCAGCGAGCCTTGGCTGAAATGGAGGGTGCCTCCTTTGAGGATTTCCCGAAATCCTGGTCACATGGGTATTCCAAGCAAGTCCTGAAGCCGGGTTTCCTCGAAGAGAAGAACAAGGAGCGGGCCCGCCGAAAAGCTACAAAGGCCAACTATCGATCCGATAGATCACGCAGCACTCCACCACCTCGCCAGTCAGCTGCTCCAGCTGCTGCATCCAACCAGGCTGAAGCTGAAAGCACGGCCAACTGGGAAGCAGGAAGTCAATGGCACGACTGGCAAGCGAGACGCAGCAGTGAGTGGCAACGGCATCAACCAGATGTCACACAACGGAGAGATGCAAATGCCGCAGACGATGACAACTGGGGCAACTGGACCAGAGATGGGCAACGAGGCAGCAACCAAGATGGCTGGTCCAGCTATGACTATGGAAACCATCAGGATCGACAGTGGAACCAGTGAGACTTTGCCGTGGCAATTCTGCATTCATCCGTGTTCCATGGAGGCTTCAACGTACAGGTTGCCTACTGAGAGCCGGGGAATGTCTGAGGCAGCCTTGATTCTTTGTTTCACGGTCGATACCATGTGGGTTTTCTTTTGCATGTCCATTGTAGATTTTTATTTGGCGGATGCCCATGCCTATTTCGGGGGGATATGCCGCTGACAGAATGTCGGCTGGCAAGTCTCTCTGGGTGAGTGGTTTGTACAGAGACTGCACCACTCGTCACAGACAAAAATAGGAGTCGTGAGCGCTCCGCTTGTTTTGGTAGCATGTCTCTAGCTAACTTGGATGTTCACTAGAACGGAGGGTTAGCGTGTTTTGCTACTGTCATTTTGGGCTCAAGTCTTTGCCCATTTTGATTGTTGGCCCTCCCACCCACCCGGGGGGATATGCCGCTGACAGAATGTCGGCTGGCAAGTCTCTCTGGGTGAGTGGTTTGTACAGAGACTGCACCACTCGTCACAGACAAAAATAGGAGTCGTGAGCGCTCCGCTTGTTTTGGTAGCATGTCTCTAGCTAACACCAGGGTTAATAACAACATAAGTAATAAGTTAAACATTATCAATGAGAGTTAAGATGTATCATATGGACATAAACATGCTAACATACTTAAGTACCTGAAAACCAGAGTTGAGAAAATGTACACTAGCGTATGGTCTTGCAAATGTGTATTCATGTGAAAAAACGATTCACATAGTGTTCATAATTGAACATATTCTTATCCTCATGGTAGACAAATCAATACAAGAGTTTATTAGTGATCATAAGTATTACTTTTAACCATTGATCATCAATCAGCCAATTAATCATTGCTCACAAATCAGCTATCCTGAGTCAACCGGCCAATCAATTGATGGTTAACTCAGGATAGCTGACCAATTGCAACCATTCGCCATCAATGGACCATCAATCGTAGGTTTTAGTCCTTCCATCAGCCATTAATCATTAAACATTGATGAACTATCCTTTGTCAACCCCGTTCGGCTGTTGATTAAAACCTGTAACCATGTAGCATTAAGCACGCTTTTATGAACCGGATCTCAATTGATAGCTGATAGATAATCTTGAGCTGGATCATTACATATTAATATGAACCAGGAACTGAGCTGAGCAAATTACTGATGGTTAAACATATTATTGATATTAACCATGAACTCAATAATGTATTTATCACTGAGACCATTATCATTATTGATATTGACCATTCATGGACCATTACTATCCATTTTATAGTTATGGCATTAATCACGAACCACTAGATTTCCCACCAGTATCACGATGGCCATACACTTATCAATGATTATTAATTATCGATATTATCACCATTATCCATTATATTTTTCATATGTCATATGTCATCATCATTAATCATCAACCATTAACCATAAATCATCAGTCACTAACAAACTATCCTTAGCTACCAAGATATATTATACTTTACTATACTACATTATATTATTAAAATTATATTGTATTGTAGTGTATTAAATTATCCATAAAGCATCATTTACAATACAATATCATAATCATTCATCACCATTATTTATACAATACAATGAATACAATAAAATGGTGTACTATATTGTATTATATTAAATTATCCATTAAGATTCATTATATTACATAATGTTAATAGTGGTATGGTAATCCATTATATGGATTGATACCATACCACAAGATTCATTAATACGTAGTGTATTATATATATATATTAAGTTATCAATATATACATATAATTGCCATTCATTTGTCAATTATCATTACCATCCATTTATTAAATGATATTATGGAATGATTACCATTATGGGTTGATCATTTATGATTACACCCATTAGCCTCCAGTAAATTAACAGTTGGTCGTCCCTGGCAGACCAGGGGTTGGAAGATTTTCATTAAACATGGGTGAAATTTTCAGGGTCAACAAGTGAATTTACCAGAGGGTAATGTTTGTATCATGTTTTTATACACCAATTTTGTTTGTATTACAATGACCCTCTGGTAATGACTAACAGTTTGCGAACTGGAAAGATCCACCCATTTTGAATGGGGATTCATCAACAAATTAAATGGGCCATTTTCAAGTTCGCAAACTGTTATGTCATTACCAGAAAGATCCACCCATTTTGAATGGGTAAATCCCCTATTTCTATGGCAATTTTCAAACTATTAATCTGGTAATGACTAACATAGCGAACTGGAAAATCACCATTTTGAATGGGTAAATCACCATTTTGAATGGGAAAATCACCATTTTGAATGGGAAAATCACCATTTTTAATGGGTAAATCAACATTTTGAATGGCATTTTGAATGGGTAAATCCCCTATAAATGGGTAAATCCCCTATAAATGGGTACCAGAGGGTATGATTCATTCCCATCTCCCAAGGTGATGCCCAACATCTCTGCAGGGCCCAGCTGGTCCTGGGTGCCCAAGGCATCTCATGGAAATATCATGGGACATGACGTGGGAATTGACTGGGAATACACCCAAAAACTCCGGAAACATGAGGGTTTGAGAAGCTGCAGTTAAGGCCCGAGTTATACCAGTTATAAGTACTAAGAAAACCCCATTTATAGAATGTATAATCTCATAGAAATAACCAGTTATAACTAATAAATGACCATAACTGTGAAGACAGTGACACGATTTGGGGCTTGAAGCTTCAACATAGGGGAAACTATGGAAAAACGGCTTATTTTTATCGTCCTATAAATTGGTCATTTTCATTGAAATGTGAAAAATAACCAGAGGACAATCTATAGTTGGCGCCTCAAGTCTCCTGACCTTTCTTTTCTTCCTCCTAAGTGTGGATTGGAAGTGGAGATACCTGGAGGAGGCGTTTCACAATCTGGATGCCTAACCTCAGGTGCTTAGAGTCATGAGTTTGAAACAAATACCCTTCGGTAATCAAAGTTGGTTCGCCGGAAGATCCCCTATAAATGGAGGTTTATAGCTGGGAAAAAGATCGAACTACAGTAATTGGTGGATTTTCCATTGCTACGTTCGATAACACCAGAGGGTACCTGCTGGTACTATACAGCTGATTTGCCAGCGGTGATAAGGATTTCAGCATTCATTCACCCAAATGATGAAGACAAGTCAACTTACCTTCTCGGAGTAAAGCCTGGCAATAGGAAATCTAAATTTCATGGGGGTACCCCAAGCTCACTGGATGGTTTATTTCACGGAAAATCCGAAGATAAAATGGATGTTTTTTTTGGGGTACCCATATGACTTAGGAAACCTCCAAATAGGTAAATCATAGAAGATATAGAAGTAACTGGGCCACGGTTTGCCGTTCGCGAACTAGTCACAGAGACTATTGGAACTGATGCATCAGTTGATCAGAAATGATGTCGTAGTCCTGTCTCCAACCAGAATGGTGATGTTTTCTCCATAATTTCCAGATGTTAGTAACTTTTCAGCATCTTTAGGTGCTACCTGCTACCTTCCAGTAAACATGGCGATGGCGATGGCTGGAACCTCGTGGATTTCCCGATTTCCAAATGATCCACCAACATTGGTGGGATTTTCCCGCATCTGTGTTATTTTGCTGAAAGGAAAATGCATCTTCATATTATTTGCATCTTGATACATCTTGGATTGTAAATTGGTTATAATGATCCTGATGCTCCTCGATTGACTATTTGTTTGCTGGAGGCTACGGTAAATTGACCCCTTGGCCGCTGGTCACGCCGCGATGCCGCGAAGGAATTTGACTTAGAGATTCATCGTGCCACTCCTTTGATAGACGACCAGAAGAACATTTACGTGCCTGTGGGATGCCGGTCAGGTAGATTTTAGGGTATACTGGCATCAGCAACAAATAGATGTGGATGGAATCAATTACAGATTGGTGGTAGAAGGGTTTTTTTTCACCATGATATATCTGGATAGATCATGCTGCGACCGAACCCTTCGGTGGCACTGGAATGATGGGAATGGAGTGAACCGCGATGGGGGTAGGTGGTTCCAGAAGAATTTGATGTGCCGATGGCAAATCAGAAGTCGTAGTGCCAACCCGAAATCAGGTGGAACACTGCACTAGACGTGATTTTACAGCCCCAGGTTGTCGACCTTGGGTCAAAATTAAAAGCAATGTTCCCCACTTGGGTTCTTGGTGGTGTTTTGGCACTGCAAACCACACCACATAACTGGTTCATCCATTGAATCATTCAACATGGACATGGAAGTGTTCCATATCCCAACTCATGGGCGTGAAAAAATCGCATGGTCAAAAAGCCATGAAAGATGAAAAAAGATGAAAGTAAGGCCTGGCCTGCAAAGCCAAGTATGCTATCAACCATAGATTTTTTTAAAGATTTTTATATGGGGGTAAACTGCTCCAGCTGTGGAAAACCCATAGGCTTTCCCAGAATCTGCAGAGGTGTCTCATTTTCCCAAGAGGATTCCAGTTATGCTTCCATGGAATATTTCCATGGTATTCTATTCAATCCCAGTAAATCATCATTAAAAACCATTAAATCACAATTAGATCCCATTAAATCATCATTAAATCCGATGAAATCACCATTTTCTTCGAATTTCTGATCCCAGTTCCTGCCACCATTGCCAGGTTCAGTCCATCGCAGGCCGTGTGCGAAAGCTGCGAGGAGTTGAGACTTGGCTGCCATGGCGACGGAAAATGGATCCAAGATAGCCCATTTATAGATGGGTATGGATCAATACCTATTAATATTAATTTTAGGGGGATGAACATCCATTTACCAGCTATTTTGATGTTCACCAGGGGTACAAGGTTTTGACCCACTGCCAGATGATTTCCTATGCAAACTTCTGATTTTTTTTGGCCCATGAAAACTTCATAGATGAAAAAGGCGATCTATGGAAAATTGAAGATTGGTCCATTTATAGATAAAGAAGATGATCATTGGCGTAATTAAAATGGTGGGCTTTCCATAGCAAACTGCCAGTTTTTTTAACAGCTGGTATGCCCATTGGTCCAAGTTGAGGAGGGGAACAGACCATGAAAGCTGAGCGAAACTCGGAGGGTTTTCCCCTCCAGTCATTCGAACAGCACATTTTTTTGGATGGTTGTTGGTCCAATGGGTCCCCCAAAGGCTGGGTGATGTTGATTCTTTCACGGGACACACCTTTCCATACTGGTCGGTCAAAGCGTCCTTTTTTGCGTTGAAGCTCCCACTGGAACTTCAAGATTTCCGCACCAAAAACTCCCCTTGGGACGTAGGATTTGGCGGTTTTTAGCCGAATATCCTGAGACGGATCATGATGGTGCCATCAGAATTATTTCGGAGACCCAAATCGGAAGATTAGAGATATAGTAGTACCCCCTATGGATTCTATGGATAGCAGTAGCTTGCCATGACATGGGCTATATAATGGGCTTTTACCAACTTCAACATTTTTTTGATGGGAAAACTATATCTAAATCCAAGAAATGCTGTCAATTACGCCAAAGCTCCGCCTGGACCGTCACAGGATGGCGTAGAGCTTTGGTCCTTCTATTCGGGCGATCGCGGAGGTATCCCAGGACCGTCCCCGGGACCCGATCGAAAAAGTGAACAAGTTAGGCCTAACTCCTAAACCGGCCTACTAAAGTTGGGCCCTGGTGACAAAGTACTATTTTTCTATCTACCATTAATCATTGATGATCATTATTAACCACTATTAACCACTATTAATATATTATATATATATATACTATCCTCTTTTTTGGGGGTTGCTAACATCATTCTGACGTAAGGGACAACACACACCAGACCAAATGGTGACTTCGGATGGGTCAAGAAACGGGAGGATCCGAGACAGAAAATCCATAGCGTCTCTGGCAGTTCAAAACAACGTGCTATCCGTTTGCGATGGAAAACTCCGCCATTTTAATAGGTCATGTCATCTCTAAATGGGCCACTTTCAATAGCTATGCTAAATATTGCTAAATTACCAGAGAATACGTTTGGTTATTTGGGTATTTGGTTGACTGGGTTGGGAAACCCGAAGTTAGGAATGGTGTGGAACTCTGTTATACTCCCCTCTGTAATTCGAAGATCTACAGATTTTTCAGGCCAGCATACTGCTGCATGCAACCGACCTTGATGCCAGCCATCTGTTGGTTCTATGTACAGTACTTGGTTGTTCGAACATCTCTTCAAAGTCATCTTTCAGTAGCTTAAGGATACTCACTCGTTTTTTTTTTTTCCGGTTTGCAAACCTCTCCATTTTCGCGAAGCTTAGGCTAGGGCTGGTTCTACTTGGATCTCAGGACACGTAACTGGTGAACGTAACAGCCATTGATCAATGGGAGAACTCCGCAGGAGTTGCAGCCATCGACGATGAGCCTAGGATTTGAGGTGGGTCATCCCCCATCGTTGGCGGACGTTTTCAGGGTGACTTCGAAATTCCAGGTATGTTGTCTCTGTGATTGTGAGTCTTCTTATTCAATGATCATGAAATATCACTTTAATTAATCACTTTTATAGCCTCTTCATCAGGGGAAACCAGTTTTTTCCCCACCATTTCATAGCTTCCAGGATCATGCAAATAAAATTCGCCCAAAACCTGGAACTCAATGGGGATGGTGTCGAGTTGGCCACCGAAAAAAGCACCATGACTCACCATGAACCCAAACTGTTATCCTCGGATTTTTGGTCATTTTTGGGCTGATTTTTCCCAGAAAAAACATATCTAGCACCATCCGATCTGGTGTTGAGCCACTCGATTTTTTCTTATCTTCACTGGATCAGTTGATGGGAAAATCTACAGGAAACCATCGGTTTTTGCCATGAAATATAGGGTTTCCCTGTAACATTTCCCATCAACCAATCCAGTGATATCTGAAAATAAGGGCTGGAGCAGGTTGAGAAGCCGTGAGGTACAGGTATCTTCAGATGGTTGTGCTTCAAGATTCAAAAACACCCAAAACCTATGTATCGTAACCACCAAAATAGATAGAAGAGTGATTTATCACCATTTTTACGAGGATTCTACGTTTCCATCTGGGTGTCGCTATCGTAATAGGTCAGGGCGTCTATTCTGTTCACGGCAGATGGAGCTAAGTGTGCGTCCCCCTATGGCTTGACAGTCTCAGAGCATGGCCAAAAGCTGAGATGAGATTAGTATGGTCAATTAGGAAACAATAAGACATGAACCAAAAAATATTATACACATGTATATTCCTGTATACTTATAGAAACACACACACATGTATATATATAGAGTATTCATGTACATGGTACATACACAGAACAAATCTCATGGTTTGTACATACTGTCGTTAGTTCATTTTTGTCAAATCTTGGGTGACTATTTCACGCTTGTTTTTTGGGGGAATGGAAAGTCAATCCATCAATAGACACCTGAAAAAACCACAGCCATGATTTTTGGATTCCCATGGGATGACACCAGAGTGACCCACATGACCATCCCATCCCATCTTTTGATGGCACCAGAGTGACCTGGTGATTTTGCTGCAGCTTCCGAATGGCGGTACTGATGAAAATGATGATCGCAGAGTGAGAGGGTAGGCCTCGACTTTTACCAAGAGACATGAATCCATGTTTGTTGCCAACTGCACCAGGTAGAGCCGTTAGTCCTTGTTTCACCATGATTATTGAATATAAATGAATATAATGTTTATGTATGTGTGTTCAGTGACTCTGATTCTTATCACGATGTCAAAGCCTCTCTTTGTTGGACATTACTGTTGTTACTAACCACAAGGTGATGTCCCCACCCCAGTTGGTTCACAACCCCCCTTTACTATAGTTTTATTCCCCACAAAGCATAGAATTCATAGAATTCACCAACTTATTTGCATCATTTCCTTTGACCCTCCAAGGACAAGATCTTTTTCATGACCCGCAAGGGATATTTCATCGCGGTGGACCTTGAGACAGGACGCCATTGGAGTTTGGGGCCGCCACTAAACCACGGGATTTTGGGCTGGTTGCAGTAACATAGCTATGGCAAAGCCCATATATAGATGATAAACATGATGATTTACCTATTAATGTTTAACATCTATATATGGGATTTGCCATAGCTATTTTACTATCTATCTAATTATATTATATGGGATACGTGAATAAACATGGAGACATTATTCAATTGCTATCTCCAGTTCGCTACGTTGAATCACCAGAGGGTGGACCCCTTTTTTTTTCCGAAAGGAAACTCCTCACTGCTGGTGATGCCCTGCTTTTTGGGTGATGCCAGTGGTCGCTTTATGTTGGCCTTCAATCTGTATGCGTGGGGGTGGTGCATCTCACTTCCTTCCAAGGTTCTCGCGTGATCATCTGCCAGAATTGCTTGAACATTTTAGAAGAAGCAACGATATTTTGGGGTTCAATTTACCATGGTTTTTATCATACAATTTCCCTGAAAGCAAGTCATCATCAAGCTGAAATCCTTGCTTCAACAGTTCTGAAATCCTTTCTGGAGTTGATGCTTTTACGGTAGCTGGTTCTAGGGCTCGCAGTTATAGCCATGGAATCCATGCGGGTGCAGTTCCAGTGAACTAAGTGGATATATTTCACCATGGTTCTAGGGGTTATAACCCAACTCTTAGAGGTTACCAGCATAGAAATTCCCAATAAAAGTCACGACAACTGCACCATCCAGTGGAACAACAACTGGATCTTGCAGCCATCTTTGATCACCACCTTTATGGCCTCATTGGTATTAAATTTGTTGGTTCTAGTGTTGGGCCTGGATCAGAGCTCCGACTTATTGGGAAGTCAATGTCCTCAATTGCGATATTTTTTTTTCCATCGAATTAGGGGACCAAGAACTTCGAGCCATGGTCGTATGTGAATCATCCCTACCCCAATTTTTGGCGGGACAGGAACTGAAGTCTTTTCCACGAAGGTGCGTCTGATAAATACACAGGGGGAGCAAGTCACAGGACTCCACAGGACTTGTAAATTGCTGCAGTTTTTTTTGGGTACGGCAGTATGCAAACTCAACACACACACACACGAAAGTTGTAGGTGAGCATTCTGCAGAAGTTAAATCTGACAGTTCAATGATGTTCACCTAAAAAATCGAATCGGCTTTTGATTCGTAGCAGCTACAAGCATTAAAATTGGCTTACACGACGATGAAACCGTTAAGAAGCCATTTGAATACGGATATCACATTTCACCTATCTGTTCCTAAGCAGTTACTAACTGTGATGCTCATCCACGGGTTTTAAGTTGCTACTTTCATCCCATTTATCCAAACATAAACGAAGCTGCAAGTGATAGATAGTCTGCAATGTGAAAATCCTGAAGTAGATCCTTTTCCGAACGGGAAACCATGTTTTTTCCATGGGTTTTCCATGGGTTTTGATTGGGGTTTCCATGGGTTTTCCACATTTTTTTGTATATCGCAGGGATAGCCTTGATCCACGTCTCGCTTTCTGCACAGATTGCTGAGCTGATCGACAGCACCACGGACTGTTGGGGACCTCATACGTAAATCATGTTTGGTGAAATAGTATGAAATAGTTTGGTTAGTAAACTCAGAAAGTTTTTTTTGGGTCAAAAAAACATAGAACTCTACTTATGACCGATCTACCGTTGAACACCATAGAACTCATCAGTCGAGTTCATCATGGGGGTTTCTCCCAAAATGTGGGCATTTTTTTCGGAAAACGGGTGATTTTTTCAGCATCGAATTTTGGGGTACCAGATTTTCAAAGCCATAGATCAAGTTGCATCGGGTTGTCTGAAAATACATATATATATATATATTATAGACATTATATACATATATATATATACATACTATATACATATACGTATATATATATATACCCGACTGAAATCTGACGGTTGATCATCATTGTTGCGAATTCACATTGCCAATCTTGCGGTATTCTTTCTGCACAAACCCAGATTGCGGCCAGATGTGCTTCGAATTTTTAGGTTCACAAAGCCACTACTTAATTGGTAATTTTCAGCCTTTACCCAATCTTTGGGGCCGTCCAATTTGATCCATGCCCACACATAACCAAGTTACCTGCAATATATTTATATACTATATACATATATAGATACTATATATATATTATACATATGTATATATATATACACTATATGCATATACATATGTATATATATATATACATCACTAATGTATATGGAATATCCCCAGTGATGGCTTTTTAGAATCACGTATCCGATACCTGACACATCTCGGCCTAGGTCTGTTGGTTCTGCAAGGCCTCGTGATCTACGCCATCGTCGAGCCCGTCCTTTGACTCCGCGATCAGGATGGAAGGAGGAGTTATCCGGTTGATACCCTCAAAAAAATCTATGGAAATCTATGGAAATCTATGGTTAAACATACAAAAACTATGGGAAATCTATGGAATTCTATGGTTAAACATACAAAAATCTATGGGAAATCCATGGAAATCAGCATTTTTTAATGGGTAAACTATGGAAACTCACCATGTTTAATAGGTAAATCAACGAACTAAATGCTCATTTTCAATAGCGAACTGTTAAAGGACCAGAGGGTAGTGGGTAGTATACAGCAGCCCCAAGATGTCTTGACTGATCCGGTCATTTTGTGAAGTTTGCTCATTTTTCCATGGCCCACCAAAATGGTTGATTTTGCTACTGAAATGGTGAGTTGAACATAGCGAACTGGCCCAGGTCTCTTGGATTTGTGTTGAGTTCCCCATTTGGTGGAGCCCTTGGGAAGATCAAAACTCACCTGGAGTCCGGAGAGCCGGAAAACATCAGTGAAAAAACCATCTATAGATGACTTTCCCATTTGATTGAATAGCACTCTTGGCTATATTCCATTCATATCGCCGTTTCTTTACCATTTCTTTTCTATATCTATTTATCTGTATATATATATACACACACCTATATTCATACATTCTCTCCGGTAATTTCACATAACTAGTGCAAATGGCCCGTTGATATTTGATTTATCGATTATAAATCGTGATTTCCATAGCAAACTGCTGGTTTACCAGAGTCTATTTCCCCTCTATATTCCTATGATTTCTATCCCTCATTGCATTTGTTACAGGGAAAATCAAAACTGGAATCCCTTATTTTTCCATCAAATATTTGGTGGCCTGTTTTTTTTTAACCAATCCAATCGACTCATTTAGGTTGATGGACCTATTAAAAATTGCAATTTTCCATGGCAAACTGATAAATTACCAAAACTACCAGACGGTAAATCCGTTTGAGTTTAGATTTATAGATGGTTATATATATATGTATATCCACATCATCTTATGATATATTCATGAATATCCCGTTATAGCAGCCACCAAAAAGATGTCGAAACGTTGGAGACCAAAAGGGTATTTTCCTATGATTTCTATAGGTTTATAAATAAACGGTTTATAGATGATTATATGGATTATCTTATAAACCTATAGTATGTGGATACATAAACAAATGTGTTTATAGATATAACCTATGATCTTATAACATGTGATTCTATGGATTCTCATACATCCCATATTATCTTATTCTTTCCCATCACCAGAGGCCAAAATCCCATGGGGATTTCACCATGGTGCTGGGACATAACATATTGTATCCCTACTTATTACTGTATATTATCCCATATGTATCCCATATTGTCCCATTCTTCCCTTATCATTTCCTTATTATATCCCACAGGTAAACTCTTATTTTATCATGTATTTTTCAATGATTTCTACCATATCCCATTCTTACCATATTATATCCCTTGTTACTATATGGAGCTTTCCTAAAATAGGGGTACCCCCGAATCATCCATTTTATTCCAGGATTTTCCATTATAAACGTTTGTTACTATATTGTTTCATACAATATTATCTCATATATATATACATGTACATATACATATACATATACATATACTACATATACATATACATATACATATACTACATATACATATACTACACATACATATACATATACTACATATACATATATAAATATACAAACATAAAAAATATATATATATATAATACTATTATTTTTTTTCTGTTTCACCCATGGCCCCCATGTTTTCCCCATGTATCGTGCCCTGAGGTGCCTGCGGTGTATCTGACAGGACACCTGCATCTCCACGAGGCGCCGCTTGGGAATCATGGATTTTTTCAGCAACCAGACTGGGATATTCATGGGATATTCATGGGATATTCATGGGATATTCATGGGATATTTATGGGATATTCACTGGGATATTCACTGGGAATAAAATTCTTATTTATTTTTTGAGCTTACTATGTGTATCTATACATATCTAAATTATTTTGTCAAGCAAGCAGAATGGGATGTTAATGGGATATCAGGATTTGGGAAAGTTTAAAGAATCTACATACATCGATTTATAGTGATTCAAGGGTAGATAGAATATGGAACATGTTCAAAACTCCCCACTAACATGGTACTTGTTTGACCATTTCATATTTTATCTACTTTGTGATTATATGTATATATATACATAGCCAACAAAAGTGGCGATATAATGTGGATTCGAGGATGATAATATGACCAATCACTACCCTCTGGGAATGACTAACAGTTCGCTATTGTTTTCAATAGCCCATAGTTAAATAGTTGATTTACCTACTCAAAATGCTGATTTTTGTTGGTTTTGTGGCAGTTTACCAGAGGGTAACAAGGGGATATGACCCAGCAAAGTGGGGATAGTCCAATGGATTCACATGAAGGGGTATGACCGAGCTCTTCAACGAAGACCCAGGCGCAACAACGATGCACACACATGGATATGATTGTAGTGTATGTACTTCTTTTTCAAAAACAAATACAACTATGTACGTGTACAATCATCCTGAAGTACTGTAGAATATGGAGTTTTGAAGAAGTTTCCCATTTGGTTGGTGATGCCTCGTTTCATTGTGCGGGCAGCTGCTGGGAGGATCACTGTTAGTAATTGGTTAGGTTTCTGGGCTTACCCTCTGGTATACAAAAAACAAACTGGAACATCACCATCTTGAAAAACGGTAAAGCAACGAACTAAACGGGCCATGGCTTCAATAGCAAACTGCAACAAATTACCAGAGGGTATTGTTTTCATAAGTGGAATAATCCACCAAACTTACAGGGGATATTCACCACTTTTCCACTTTCCAGCATTTTGTTCCCTAAGAAAACGGGGACTTCCTCACCTAACAAATGATCCACCAGCGAAAATGCACCGAGATTGACTCCAACTTGGTGGTGGCCTTCAGTACGCGACTGGGGCAGCTTTTAAAACGCGACCCATATTGGATGATCCATGTATTGATATATGTTACCCTCTGGTAATTTAGCATAGCTATTGAAAATACCCCATAGAAACAGTTGATTTACCTATTCAAAATGGTGATTTTCTATATTTTTGTTAGTTTACCAGAGCGTAGATGTATAGTTAGTATAGTTAGTATAGTTGGATATTGATGAGAAAGTGTTTCATTCATCAACTAGCTGGTTGGATATTCATATATAATATGTAATAATCAAGTATATAATGTAATCAAACTATAGTTGGATATTCATAATATAGTATGGTCGTATATTCGTTATATATGGTTGGATATTCATTATATATAATCAAAGTAATAATAAAATATACCCTCTGGTAAACTAACATAACTATGGACAATCACCATTTTTAATGGGACAACTCACTATTTCTATGGCCATTTTCAATAGCTTTTTGTATGTTTACCAGAGGGTAGTCAAAGTAATAATGAATATTAAAGTAATCCCATCACCCTGATATTTATCGCACCCCATTGTAGGGGTCTCAAAAAAGAGCCTTGGGATCAAGGACCAAAAACGCCCAGCCGGTTGATGGGTTCTTAGTTCGGGGGGTTATACTAGCTGGTAATGTAGGGCATTCGCATCATCCATGATGTGTTTTTTTTTGGGGGGATGATGAACTTCGCAGTTTTGAAGACTTCTCTGACTTCTCAGCAACTGATCTGTGGCGATACCCAAAAGTTCCCATGTTAGCGTCGTTGGATCGGTTTAAAGGGGACTGTTTGAAACCGGAACCCCCAAAAATCAATGTGATGAGTGGTTGAAGGGAAATAAAATAGAGGACACCCTCAATGAATTCGGGTTTAAGGGACAATTGAATCCAATTTCAAGAACACCATCAATTTTGATAGGGAAAAACCATGGTTTCCGGTTGTTCTAGTGATCTTGGGGATTTTTTAGGACCAAAACAAGCCATATGGGATTGGTGGGCCTCCCCTAGTTATGTTTGTATGTTGGGAAAAAACACCAACAAGCATGACTACTAATGTGGTACACCCCATGATCAACCCAATCTTTTTTTTTGGACTTTTTTTTTCCACACCCAATCAACATGGTGATTGGATGGCTTATGAGGCTTATGGCATTGGGTTTACCACATTAGTTTGATATATCTACCACAAAGCATAGATTTCCCCTCGTTCTGTGCAACATCTTGCTATCCTTGGGGAAGAACCTTGGAATCAGATTTTGGCAGAATGACCTCTGTAGATAAGGGGTTGGGATGAAGTTTTGCCGCATGTTTTTTTCGACTTTTTGTGGGTACGTCTTGGTCTCCGATTTTTTGAACAGTCGATCGACATACCGAGGAAGGATGGGTCGTTGAAATGGAGATTCCAACCCAAAATGCCGCTGTACAACTTTCAAGCTTCCTCGAGCTTTGGTTGAGGATGTACAGGGAGGGTGAAGAGTTTATGAAGAGCGGGAGATGTTACAGATGTTGCGTATGCGGAAAGACTTGCTTGGGTTAAGAATCGCAAGACTCTTGTTATTTGACTATTTGCAGGACTCAATCAGTTCATTTACCCTCCTTGATTATACAGCTCGTCAATGCTGCTAAAAAGGGCCCCATAGGAGGCATGTCAAAAGCGTTTTTGCGGCTCCCAGATATGTGTTTTTACAGGAACATCTACAGCATACCGCTCCATTCTATGCTTACCCTCTGGTGAACTAACAGTTCGCAATGGAAAATCACCATGCTATTAATGGGAAAACTCACTATTTCGACTGGGCCATTTTCCATTGCTTTTTGTATGTTCACCAGGCCGGGTACTTGGAAGTGCAATTCCAGTGAACTAAGTGGATATATTTCACCCTGTATCCCAACTCATGGGGGTCTTCCCATAGTTGCCGAAACAATTTTTCTCAACTGCGCACCCAAGTAAGTGATATATCCCATTAATATCATCATCATTAAATATATATATATCCTATTAAATCCCATTAAATCATCAGTAAAAGACCATGTTTTTTCACCTAATTTCCCATAAGCCGATTTTTGCGCCGAGGATCAACGATGGAAGCTTCGTGTTTCAAGACCAAACTGGTGGCGTCTACCGCCTGGGAGTCGATGATGGCAAACTCCTGTGGTATGGCGGACAGCCGGGACTCCCGTTGGGTGTTTTGGATGAGAATTGCCATCTGTTTTATGGGATTTTTCAGTATTTTCAGGTTTTTTTAATGGGATCTAATGGCTTTGCTGAAGATGAGAGTAGGCTTATGACTGAATCTTTTTTGGGGATATCCTTCCGAAGCATATCCAAGTTATGGCAATTTCAAGGGGGAAGTTACTAAGGCAAGCCTGAGGCAAGCCTGAGGCAAGCCTGAGGCAAGCCTGAGGCAAGCCTGAGGCAAGTTATGGCATTCCTCAGAAAATGATATACAATGATGTTGAAAACCAGCTTGCGGGACCCATTTCGAGGTCAGTGTAAAATCCATTTGAAGCCCTTTTAGGCAGCCCCTGAAAGGATAGAAAAGCAACCTTCTATTGAAATGGTGACGAATCGCTTTTCTATCTTTTTATATCTTTTTTTGGGTTACATATATGTATATATATATATAAATAATTATATCATGAATACTAGTCCATTGTCATTTACTTTTCTATCATTCTCCGGGTGATTATAATACCACCTACCCCCAGTACGGGATCGCAAAGTCAATAAATCCCTTACTAAGTCAGGCTTTCGTTGTGTGTTAGTGAATATCAGGATCATCAAAACCTGCAGTTTTTCTCCAAAAGACCTCCTGAAATGGGTGGGGCATCACTAAAATGCTGGAATCCTGGACACAGCTTGTTGAGCAGGGTGGCTGGATGGGTTGCTGGGGGTTGCTGGGATGATCAAATTAATAGTTATGGATTGGATCATTCCCGGAAATTCCCTACGTTTAGCACCAGCACTTTGAGAAACATCCTTCTCACTTCTCTTTGAGAAAACACGGTACTTCCAGTTGAATGGTCTGATGTAGATCCGGCATCAGGACAATGTGGAGATTCCAACAGGAATGGGGCTTTACCAGCGAGAATAGGGATGCAAACGACACTAATGTGGTGCCCTCTGGTAAACTAACATAGCTATGTAGATCAACTAACTAAATGGCCATTTTCAATAGCTATTTTTAATTGCCACATGGTAAATTGCATCAGAAACCGTCCGAAATGGCTTAGGATAGGCTCTCAGTCCAAAATGAAGCCATGAAGCCGTTTTATGTCAGGATGATTTACCGAATGTTTCTTGTCCCCAGCCAGCCATGTTTGAGCATATCCCCCACAATTGCCATCATTTGTTGGTTATGTTATGTCACAGATGATGGTGCTAGAAACAGCCTCCGTTTCTGCCAAATCCGAATTTCTTTCTTGTAGAAATCCACATCGCCGTTGAAATCCTCTTTTTGGTTGGCGTTATATCCCCATTTTCATTGTATTTGGTTGTATCTTTTTGCTTTTTGGTTGGCATATTACTAAGGAGGGTTATTTATTTTGGGAATGATTTTTTTCCGTTTTGTTTTTTTTCTTGGATTTCTGTTTCCCTGCTTCTTTGCTTTTCTGCTTTTCTGCTCCCTGCTTCTTGCTTGTTTGCTTCTCCAAGATGTATGCTTTTCTGCTTTTCCCTGCTTCTTTGCTTCTCTGCTTTTCCCTGCTTCTTTGCTGCTCTGCTTTTCCTTGCTTCTTTGCTTCTCTGCTTTCCATGCTTCTTTGCTTCTCCGCTTTTCTGCTTTCCCTGCTTTTTTGCTTCTCAAGCCTAAACAATCCCAAGATACACACACAATATATATATATATATGTATATATATATATACATACATAAATAAACCCTAAACCAATCTTAAGTAGACCTCAAAATTTCCAAAAAAACGAAGATAGCCCTAAGTAAACCCTAAATAAATGTGAACAATTGTCCCAAACAACTCCTAGACCAACCTTAAATAGATCTCAAGCCAAGCCTACATAAACCTGAACCAAGCCTGAATAAACCTTAAACAAGCTTTACATAGAAACCCTAAGCCAACCCTAAACCAACTCTAAAAGCAACCCAAAATAACCTAAACCAATCCAACAAAAACTAAACCAACCCGAAAACCAAGCCTAAACAAACCAACCCTAAACCAACCCAAAATGAATGCTAGTTGCAAAAAACCATGCGACATGGACAGTTCGACAGTTCGAGCACCAAAATGTTGTAAATACTAGGGAAAATGAGAGGTTCGAACTCCAACATGTTGCAACATACAGTTGAAATGGCAGCTTCCAGCTCCAAAATGCTGCAAATAGCAAGGAAACGGACAGGACAGGAGATCCAAAACAAGATTCCAAAACGGTTTTTTGATCCCCAACACAATTCCAGACCCAATTACTAAACAATTGCTTTTCATGGGTGAACTCCCCACGAATGCCTAAGGATGGACCGTGGCAGCGCCACCACGGCTGCCGCAGTGATCTCCGAGGGAAAGGTCTATGCAGAGCCTCGGTGAAACCATTTGGTTATGGTCAATACCTCTAAATCTAGCAGTCTGAGGGACAACCAGGAGTCGACAGCAACCAGCTCACAGATCTGAATTACTTGCAGGATTACTTCCAGGCTTCCAGGCTTGCAGGAAAGCCAAGTCAACAAAGACCTTATCGCATTTTTAGGGCGATGAGTGGGATGAACATCCATAAATTCCCAGCTATTTTTGAGGGAAGGGCCGAAGGGAAACACCGGTGACTTGACCCAGTTCGAAAAAGCTGGTGAATGAGATGCTGGGATCATTTCCTGGTAAATGATACTGGGATTAACATCAACTAAATAGCTGGGAAATGATGAGAGAGTACTGGGATCTACCATCATAACCTAGATTTACCCCTTGATAAGATAATACTGGGATAATACCCTCTGGTAAACTAACAAAACTATCGAACATTGCCATTCTTAATCGGTAAATCAGCCAATCAGCCAACTAAATGGCCATTCTCTATAGCGAACTCTTAGTTTACCAGAGGGTAATGGGTAGATCTAGGTTATGATGGTTATATTGGTTACAATTGGTTACATAATCAGCAAATATGGTGATTTCATCAACAAACACGGTGGTAGAGACTTGGGATATGATATGATGTCATGGGAGACATAGGTCCGACAGCTGGGAACCATTAATGGTGTCTCATGGGTTCGGCAAGGGGTTCATTCCAGGGTCTGGATCCTGCAGGATCCAGGGTACAAGGTGGTGCCCCAGTGAGGTAAATCGCGTTCAGTTGGGGTTCACATAACTCCCATTAAACCTATGGCTTATGGCAGATATACAGTAACTATAGTATTCATGGGGGTTATAAACATTACTGGGGGGCACCATCCTGCAGGGTTCCTTGATAATTCAGTGGTTGTGATATTGCCTGAGCCCATGAAATGAGGCTTGTAGCGACGAGCAGTGGAACTCTGGAAGCCCTGTTGGTTGATTAGTTCGGGGTCTATCCAAGATCCGGTTGATACCCTCCAGTAGTGAACCATGGCAATTGAAATTTCCTCATTTATAATCATTTATAGATGTTTTCTCGTTAGACATACATCAGTGGATTTTCAACTGCCCTGTTTGATTACGTGAGGGTCTCTTTTTTGGCTACCAAAACATCTCATGATCCATAATAATCCACTAATCCATATTAACCAATCAGTAGAATGATGAGGCTTTGCAATTTTTGGGGACCAGAATTGGTGAAGAGATCCAATGACTGGTTCCAGAGTGAAATGCTGCAGCGACAAAAGCTTCTAGCTGTGTTTGACTAGTTGGAACCAATCATTTTACCCTTTGGGAATCAAACGTGGCCTATAAATGGAGATTTTCCAGGATTTCATGATAGATTTTCCATGATTTTAACCATTGGAACCTGTGTGTTTCTAGTGGTTTCCATGTTTTTAATGGGAAAATCATCTGTAAATGGTGGATTTTCCAGCAAGCCATGGTGATCCACCTGAGTGATCAGATCAACACTGACCAGTAGTGCATGGCTTTGATGGACTCATATGTTGATATTGCAACTGGTTTGGTGGTTTCAAATATGTTTGTTATTTCCAGAGTTTTTTTTTTTAAATATGGCATATATATATATAATATAACTCCAAGTATCCAAGTAATTGGTTTTATTTCCGAAAGCACACATTTGGGATGATGCTCGCCAACGACATTCGCATCTGAGGTGAGCAACCTTGGTGGTGGGATGAAACCCGGGATGAAAGAGGGGAAAGGCGCGCTGGGCCGCTGGGCGCATCTTGCTGCGTAAACCTGCGCTAAACCTGTCCACGGGAGAGAACGGAAGCGATGTTAGCTGTTTTCAGCTTCACATTTGTAGGAAAAGATCTCAGAAACCGTGTTTTTTCTTGGTTTATCCTGGGGACAAGATCACATGTTTGGGACCATTGGGGGTGTTTAATATTAGGGGGATGGGATTCGAATTATATAATCCTTTAAAGGGAACCTGGCCATTGTAGTCACTAATGCCCACAGCTAGAGTTCGCCTTGAGTTTGCCTCTCAGCACGTGGTTTCTCCATTCAAGTGGGACATGGCTAATTGTTCAACGACCCCCGAAAATGATTTCCCGAAGGCCGTCGATACAGCCAAATTGCTGGTCCTCTAATAGTACTGTTTGATTCAATCACTTGTCTGGATAGATATAGCGACGTCGCCGCAGCGCCAGTGGAAATGATGGGTAGTAGGGGTAACTATCCCAAATAGCCCTTCTCCAGGTTGGTAAGTATATGTAAGTATTCGAATTTGTCCGGACTTTTCAGTGAAATCACTTACAATATCATGAATACACTTCTGTCTAACTTCGACTGATAGGTATTTAAAGAGATTTAAAGTGTGAATGCCAAGTTCCAATAGTAAATTCATGTTAAAATGAACGTTTTCTGCCACAAAAACCATATCCCAACTGTCCAAGTTGGAAGCTTTACGTCCTGTGGACCACCGTGATTTTTCGTTGGCAGGGCTTCTGCATGTGCCGGGATCCTCAGAGATCCCCAGGTCCGGTCCATAGCTATGGAAAATTGGACCATTTTTATGGAGATAAATCAATGGCCCATTTGTAGATCAAGAAAACCTATTTGGATGCATGGATTTTTTCCGTAGCTATGTTGAGTTACCATAGGTAATGACCTCAAATGATTGTGTTTTGAGATTGGGGAAAATGATCATCATGAGCCTCTGGGGCACCCTTTTTTTACATAAGCCTCATCTGATTGTCGATGATTCGACTTTCCAAACTTACTGGTGCTTAGTAGGGAATGGATGGGAATGCGGGAATGGGATTATTATTGATAGTTGTTGTGGATCATTCCATCATTCAGTAAGCAAAAAAATATGGTTGAAAATACAAGTGTCATCCAGAAATGATGTGAGAAAAGTGCTGACACTATGAAAAAGGATCCAAGTACAGCCCGCATGTTGCTCAGCTCTTCCATTCAATTCATAACGTTGAAGAGAACAAAATATAGGAAACCATCTCTTCCATCAGTCATTCAGGGAATGTCCTGTAAATCTTCTCTTGAACTAGTGCTTCCGGTAGCTGGTTTTGTTCCATGGCCTTAAACAAAAAACTGGTCAATTGTGATCATCATTGGATGAGTCGATACAATTTCATAATCCCAGCAACCCCCAGCAACCCATCCAGCCACCCGTAAAACGCACCAGCCAGTGACGTTTGGGATGATGATCTCCTGGTTGACTTTTGGGATCTGAGGTACGACTATGAGAGCGGCTTGCTCCTGTGGTATCAGCTATTGCAACTTGGCACTGTGGAAACACGGAAGAGAGCGACAGTTTTTGAAGTGAATGAATGGGACTGGATAATGACAATAAACATATATATATATATACACATGTAAGTATACAACTGTATAGTACCTATACAAGTATACAACTATTTTACTACATAACAGATAACAATAGAACTGTCTAATTATATACCATGTAACTATTGAACTATGTATCCCAAATGCCATCATACAACTGGTAGCATGGTCATGATCCACTCAGCTTTCCTGGGATGCCGGTTGCTGATATTCCGTCTACTTTTTCTATCATCAACTGCATTAAGTCATGTAAAGTAACATCATGAGACTATCATCCTGCAGTAGAATCATCCATCAGGCGCCCCCGTGATTAGGGTCTGCATCACCCATCCCAAATGGCAGCCCTGGTGATGTCTTTGTGATGTCTCTCTATGGATTCCTATAGCATCATCGCCGTGAAATCATAGCGCAAATATGTGCAAATGATGATTTTCAGATGTGTTTTTTGTGGATGAATCCACAGAATTCTACTAAACGTATAGCAATTTTATGATGAGTCTGGATGAAATCTTCATTTTATTTTATAGCAATTTAATGGTGACTTGCCCAATAATTTCCCGAGTTGATGGAGCCATCCGCTGTTCGCGCCTCAGGTGGTATGAGGGCAACCAAGCCGTTGCTGTGGCTTTTCTCATTGGGTTTCGCTGGGATGAACCATCTGATCAGTGACATGAGAATGTCAAGCCTGGATTTTGCTAAACCATGGTTAATGAATTAGGGGGGTACTCCTCCAATAGTCATTTCATCTAATCCTAATATATATTTTGTTAAATGGTACCCTTCCAATGAAACAGCCGTTTGGGGTTTATTAATACAGGGTTGACATTAGATGAAATAGATGAAATGATATGACATGATACGATATGAAATGATATAGTATGATATGGTATGACATGCTATCGTATATGTTTTTTGATTAAACATGGGGATTTACCTGCAAATATGGCAGAAACGTATACATGAACTATATCCCTATCTCTATGAGTAGCTTTATAAATATGATAGACACATAGACATGGTTATTTACCCAACATCTTTTAAACCACAGTGATTTGGACCAGAAATGATCGGAGTTTTTACATTTGGTGATGGGTCACAACCCGATAAGACCCTGAAAGTCGGAAAACACTGTGATTTCTAAGAATTCCTCTTCTAATTTGTACGAATGTCAGTTTTTTTTTTTGATCAACACTCACATCCACCAATCCAGTACGAACATTTTCCTGTGCTTATAGTCGTTCCTTTTTCAAACCAACGAATCCGCTTCTCTGCAAGAAACCACGGTTTCATAGTTTGTTCCAGGGGAAAAACTGTTGCTCTTGGTTGGTGTTTTCAAACATTTTTCTTCACCGTGGCCGGGTCAAGAAAGGCAACACGAAAACATGTTTATACTAGCGAGTGGAAAACCGCGCGTGTAGTCGTGCCACTTTTTGAATATGGGGTTTGGGCGGGGTGGGGTGGGGCAATAGCGTTCATGTTACTTGCGAAGTGATGCTAAGCTAGGGCTACGTCATGGCTTGGGGTTTGGGTGGGGTGGGGCAATAATGTTCATGTTAGTTGCAGTCTCAAGTGATGCTACGCTAGGGCTACGTCATGGCTTGGGGTTTGGGTGGGGTGGGGCAATAATGTTCATGTTAGTTGCAGTCTCAAGTGATGCTACGCTAGGGCTACGTCATGGCTTGGGGTTTGGGTGGGGTGGGGTGGGGCAATACCGTTCATGTTGCTTGCAATAACGTTCATTATACCAACGCCCCAATGATGAAAACTCCAGAGATCTGGGAGTGGCTGCAGCTTCCAAGTCTGGAAAGCCTCCTCCTGAGAGCGCGCCGCGTGTTCGTGCCACTGGTGCTTTGACATGTGTGCTCACGACACATAAAAATGGTTGCAAAAGCATCTTGGTGACAGATGGTGCCCCATGTTACCCTAAACTCACCTGTGAACATAATTTGGGCCATGAAGCTTGCAATCATAGGTGGTGTCGATGGAATGTGGAAAATTTCCAAAGGTGCAGTGCCAAGTTCTTGGAGCACACGCAAAAATGGAACTGTAAATCCTCAGTTGCTTCAAGAAATTCGAATTTGGCAGCGGCGATGGCACCATGGAAATTCCAAGGACTACATGAGTCTCACCGGTCACGCCAGCGGCTATGACAGAAGTAAGAAGCGACCATCACCCCAAGGCCACAAAACCCTTTAAATACCATGAGACACTTCAACAGTACTCGATTTTCCCTGGGAAAATGTATAGAAATATGATTCATGAAATGTGCATGGTGCCGCAGTGCCAGATCTTTTTTTCCTCAAAACGTGCTCAACCATGTGCTCAACCGCTAGCGCGGTTTCCCGCCTAGGTGGGCGAGATCGCAGGGCATCCTGGGAAATCCTTGGTCCTGGGCATGGGAAAGCCACTTGGTGGGACGACTGAGCCATGAAGAAATGCCTTGGGGGGATGGTTCACCTCATATACATTTGGGATGGGAGCGAGAACTTCTAAATCGTAGATTTATAGAGGTTTTAAGGATCAAATATGGGGGTGTAGGTGGATATAATACATGGTATAACTGATACATGAGGGTTGGTAGGACTATTGCGTCACTGGATTCATTTTACAAGACGAGGGCTTACCAGGGTTCTTCTCGCAAGTGGCATCTTAACTTCCCTTTTGATCGTTCCCGTCCTGTCATTGTTGTCCGAAGTGGAAAGGTTGACCTCCCCCATGTCAAACGGATCAACCGTTTCCAATATTTGCGCAGAATTGCAGCCAATTAATGTCATTCATCTAATTCACAAAATTCATCAGATAGACGGCTGACCTATGGGACATCGCGCATCCGTCATGGTTGCTCGAGGGGCGCGTGTGCAACTACTGTGTGTGTGGGGGTAGGTTGATGATTAGTTCGGGGATTATACTAAGCAGTTTAGTGGGGATTATCGCAATCCATGAATGCGGAATCTCTATAAACCAACCAGTATTTTGGGGACGACACAGGATGTGAACACTACTCAAATGAAATTGTCTGAACATTTAGGGGTAACCCCTATTCCATCCACTTGCTTATCATCATTTTCCCTATTGAAATTGCCGCTTTGGGGGTATACCGTATACAACATTTTCAAACAAAACCCAGATAAGTCAGTTTATAACTCCAATAATTGGGATTTCCGGTAGATATATTGAACCTTATTGAACTAGTTGATGGAGGTTATATAAACCACTTTGTAACTGGGACTGATTGGTTCTGAAATAGGGGTAATTCAACTGAAAAAAACTGAACTTGGTTGCATAGGGATGACTTTTTGATCCAAAGCAGGACCATTATTATTAACTCAAACAGTTTTTAGTGGGGTGTATCTGTGTATCCTACCTAGTGGTTTATAATCATCTGTAATTGGTTTATTTCAATTTATTTCATATGGTTATTAACCACCTGACTTGGATGCTAAGGGGGTTGGCTCACCCGAGTTGTGAGTAGGGTAAGTATGGTTGATGGCGATTGGGTTTACAGTCACTCACTTACCAATAGGGTGAACCACCGAGTAGGCCTAGTGACTTGTTTTGGGTGCACACCGTTGATCAATGGATTTATACATCTATGCAGGGTGTTTCTCAAAACCATAACCCATACCCTCCCAATTTTTCACAGCTCGACTCTGCCACCAGTTGGGGTTTGGATGGAAACTAAAACATGGCGAGTTTCAGGGTCGAACTCATTTTGATTTCTGGAAAGGCTCAGTCCGACATTATATAACTCGTTTCACAGCACCGTTCAGTCACTTTTCCATGGGGCAAATCAGACTTAAGTTACCGTAGGGTAAACAGACGTAGATGTGGAAAACCTGGGAATTTCCCGCGCGGAACATGATCGACAAAAAAAATGGCGGTTTTTCCACATCTATATATGTTAGTTTACCCTAGGAAACTTGGTGCAGTGAACTAAGTCAACTATTTTTGGATGTTTATGGGGGCCCCGTAACCCAACTGTTGGACGGTTATTTCTAATAACCATAGTTATACTGTACTCATTAACAACATCTGTGCCTTCAAGTATGGACATGTTTTTTTCAGTATATATCTCATCTTAATGTATAGATACATACTGTGGATGGTTGCGAAATCCTGCATCACCAACCGGATGGTTTTTCAACCCAAACAAAATAATGGCATTTTGTCCACCTATCAACTGGTGATTCGGATTTCGCTGGCCCATCCACCGTATGTATACATCTAGACGTGAAGCAAAGATATGGCAAAAGATATGGCACCTTTGGCCCACTCAGCGTTTCGCTAGACCTGGAATCGGAGCCGAGGAATCCCGGCGTGCCGTGGTTCATGCTGATGACTTTTTACATTCCTGGATGGCTGGCGCCATGGCCTGTGGGGTGGACCTCTTTTTACTTACTTTGTGTGGATATATGACCATAGTTATAGGGGAAGTTCTATGTATCTACAACTATATATATATATATATATTATATATATATATGTATACACAGATACATACACATTGATATATGACCATATTTTTCTAGGGCTTCTATTTTCATGTCTCCCAACCGATGCTTCGAATTTGATGCTTGTACCTGGCGTTTTTTCAAAAGCCCAACCAATGCACCTGGCTTCACGACTTGGATGGCCCCAGTCCCAAGAAAAATATCAACGGCGGGGCGGCTTCGCATCCAGGTATCCGGGGTATCCGGTCGCTAAGAGTTGGGGATGGCCATGGATCCCAGAAGCCGAGTCTTGCGTAGAAACTCAGTAAACTCCAAGCCTGGCCTGTGTCTGAAAGGTTGGAAGAGTCATGTCCCAAATCCAGTGTATATACATTGATGATCATTGATGTATGTATATAACTACTCATGCACGTAGCACGTATAATATATATATATATTGTAATCCCCAAAGATAAGACTTTTTGGAATTCTACTGAAATGGTGATAAATGACCTTTCTATTTAGGGGTTACCACGACACATTAAACAACCATGACGTGTTTTCACCACTGCTTAGGGCGGTATTGACAGAGTCGCTGGAAGATCCTCCATTAAGTTGAATAAAATCACCGATGCCACCGGGTAAATTCAATAGTCAACTTTTACTGAATGATGGTGACAGGGGAATCATTTCTCTGCAAGTTTCAGCTATGTTCAGTCAGATTATTCCATTCCCATGAATTCCCCCTTAACCCCATCGTATTAAATACCTATTTATTGTGGTTAATCCATTTTTGAGTATCCCCCCCCCTGCCTGGACACACCTGTTTTTTGATTCGGGAAGCGTCTCAAACTGACCTCTACATTTTGGCCAATGAATCTGGACAACAATTTTTGACACCAACACACACGTGGCAATTGTTTGTTTATGTAATATATATATATGTGTATGTACATATAACAAGACAAAACATATGTGTGTATATATATATATGTATATATATATATATGTAAATCTACTTATATGTAGATAAAGATTAGATTTCAAGATGCGCTGCTTGCAGATCCCATGGACGGCGCCCTTGTACTACCTGAGCCTGCACTTTCCAACCTGGTTTGCGTCCAAACAAGGCCGAGCGCAGCTTGGCGTAGAAACGAGCCGGGTTTGGTGGGAATATGATGATAAATATATATATATATGTTGTACCATATATATACATACATACATACATACATACATACATACATACATACATACATACATACATACATACATACATACATACATACATACATACATACATACCATATATGTACCATATAAATGTATATTTGTACCAGTTTTGATGATATATATATATATTACATATTATTGATGATTGATGACGTTTAAACCACCATAATCTGTAATGTCAATAAAGTCAAATGACAATAATGGCTCATGAAACCAAACATAAATGGTGTTATTTGGGATCAATTGATGTTTGAATGTTCAACCCCGCATTCATAGACCATGATAACCCCCTGGTTTACCAAAATACGGGGCACCAATTTTTTTGAAGGAATTTATCACTCTTTTGGGGAAGCCCCCTTTACAAATCAACCAGGGTTTAATCCGGGGTCACATGATTGAATTTATCATCTGCACATGGGGGGTACCATGGGATAGTCACAAAAAAGATTCATTTTTTTCATGGCGAAGTTGTATGATGATTCTTTGCGAAACAAATGGGGGTATGGAACCCCCCTAACCAGTTTCGGAGAAATCCTGGTTAAAAAAAAACAGGTAGGGTGAAAGTCTCATCTTTTGCCCAGTTGCCGCAACGAGACTTTTTCAGAGTTTGATGGTTTTTTTTAAGACTTCAAGGTCATTGGGAACTTGAAGTGTGACGAAAAGCTATTTGGGTGTGTCTGAACATGTTGTGTACCCCTTTTTACCCAATGGTTTTGCTGATCATTATCCCAAAAATAAATGGCTATTTCATTGGGAATATACCCTATTTTCAGACAAACCCATTCAATGGTATGTTCCATTGAGTTGGGAACGGGACACAAACGAAGAAATTGGGTCTACATCGTTTTCGGAAATAGCTTTGATGGCCACGTTTGATTAGCAGAGGGTAAGGACTTGGTGCAGCTGGGATTTTTTTTCATCGCTTTTCAAGCCATAGTTTTTTTTCCAAGTCACCAGACTTGGATGAACTATTTCATGAAGCCACCAGACTCCATGGATTTTCGCGAAGACCATGGGAATTCCGATCTGTGGATCCCGAGGATAGTTGCATTCAATGCAGAGACTGGAGCCCTAAGGTGCCGCTGTCAGACCTGGGATGAAGGGAAGAAGCACGGCGGTTTTGAACCAGGGAAGCTATGGAAGAAACATGACTTGTGACATTGGAAAATCCATGACTCATGAAGTGGTGAGATGGTTTTGATGAGGTACCAACAATGTTGAGTTACACTAGGCGGGGTTGTTACAAGAAGTGGGCTTGATGAAGAAAGATGCGGAAAACGCCCCTGGTTTCCTAAGGAGAATGATCTGCCAGTGGTTTTCCATATGTGAATTCCGGTAGGGTCGATGATGCTTCATCTCCTGAGGTGAGGAAATTCACCAAGAAAGAGCTGCTCGAGCAACACATGTTGAACTCTAGGGGCAACAAACGGGCTTGTAACAACAGATGGTCGGTTAAAACAGCAACTTTCCACATGGTCTCGATGGGTGCCGCAAGAATTCGCCAGAAGGTAAGAATGACCCTCCGGTGTCCTCAAACATAGGTATGGAAAAGGACCCATTTATAGATGATTTGCCTATTTAGATACAAAATCCTAGGGCATTCCCAGAGGGTCCATGAATTTTCTGTAACTTGGGATGGCGCGCCACGGAAAATGGAAAAAAACTCTGAGGTGACCGGATAGATGTGGTAAAAAAGGGCACCAGATATCTGGAATCTGTCGCCGGCAGTTTCCACAGGAATGGATTTCCACTGGAATGGTTGTCACCATTGGTCCCCAGTCATTCAAAACATTTGTTTGATCTGGGGATGTTGGAAAAACTTTTCTCGGAATTTCCAGGACTGGATGAAAATTGCTGTGGAAACTAGCTGTTGTTTTTGTAGCCTTTTGGGCAGATCCAAAACTCTCCTCCAGACTAACATAGCTGTGGAAGATAACCCATAAAAATAGATGATTTAATTGAATTGGGCTTAATTTCCTATTAAAAACTGATGATTTACCTATTACCATCTGGTAATTTAACATATATAGCTATTGAAAATGGCCCATAGAAATAGTTAATTCACCCATTAAATACCCATTAAAAATGGTGATTTTCCATATAAATTACCATTTTCCCATGGTTTTCCCATGGTTTTCCCATGGTTTTCCCATGGTTTTCCCATGGTTTTCCCATGGTTTTACCGAACTTAAAAACCTGTGCTGTCGCTCCAGGTGGGTATGGGAGATGGAGCCCTACCAGCAGATGGCCGCCTCCGGAGACAACGATGCCGGGACCAAAAAATTCTGCCGGAGGTGTTCCTTGAGTTCAGCTTCTGGGGAACTCATCACGTCAAGTGCACATGAAGTAACACACACACATATATATAATATAAAAGTATGTATGTATATTTGTATATTTGTATATTTGTATATGTATATGTACATATATATATATATGATTAGCGTTTTTTTTTTATATCCCCAAAGTGGATGGTTTGATACTAAAGATGACGGAAGATTTTCCCAATCTGTGGGCCCCCCCTCTTCAGCATCGCTGAGGAAAAGTTTGTGCCGAGATTTCGGGAGGCTGGGTCGCGTCGTACGCCTTCGCGCCGCTGGGAGGATGGGAGGATGGTGCCCCCCTTGGTTTAGATTCACCCCATGAATACAAGTTCGTTATATCTACCATAAACCAGAGTTAATTCAGCCACTTATATCTCAACTTAGCTATCTTTTTTTTCCCCATCCTGTAGTCTTTGAGGTGAAATTTGGCAGGACTTTCCATATAGTTGACCTATAGTTGAAAGACTATAGTTGAAACTTTCCATGGCGTTATACTTCTTACTTTCCATATGGTTGAAACGGCACTGACTCGAGCCACTGATTCTTTTTTTGGGTGGAAACAAAACAGACGCTATCAAGAAACCCATTCCGATTTTCCAAGGTTTGAAGGGCCATTTCACCCAATACAAAGCGCACCAGCAAAAAATGAAAAGGTGACATTTACCACGATTTAGTAGGATCTTGCATGATAATATGTTTCTGTCTTTTTTCGGTTGCTATGCTGTTCTCGGCAAATCATACTGTAGTGACCTCTCAATGACCTGACCATAGGTGATGGTCAGTGAGCTTCTGCGCTCCAAAATGGGTTTGTTTGTGGTTTGGGAAGTGCGTGTGTCTGAAAATAGGCGACCTACTCCCCCAATTGAACAGGTAGATTTAGGGGTACCCTATTTTCAGACACACCCACGTGATATGATTTGCCCAGACTATTTGCAGAAAGCAGTTGACTTCTCAACCCAGTGATGTTCGCCAAATGGTAGCCATGGCAAAAAAAAGCATTTGGGTTCCATCGCATACCCCTGACTAATGTGAAATCTATCCTTGAGGTTGTGATGCATTGGCGCTTCTGTCCTCAAAATGTTTTCTTCTTCTTCTTCTTTCTTTGTCTTCTTCTTCTTCTCTTCCTGTTTCCTTTTCTTCCTCTGCTTGGCTGTCTTCTTCTTTGTCTGTCTGGTCTCCTTCCTGCTTCCCTTGCCTGGTGTCTTGCCTTCCCTTGTGCTTGGCTTGATCGGCCCCACCTGACCTCTTCTTGTTCTTGTTCTTCTTGTTCTTCTTGTTCTTCTTGTTCTCTTGTTCTTCTTGTTCTTGTTGTTCTCTTGTTCTTCTTGTTCTTGTTCTTCTTCTTCTTGTTGTTGTTGTTGTTGTTCTTGTTATTGTTCTTGTTATTGTTCTTGTTCTTGTTTTGTCCTCAATTGTGTGGGGTAGGTGGCTGCGGCGGCGGCGGCAGTGGTGGTGGTGGTCGGCGTTTGCTCGCCGGTCAGCATTTGCTCGCTGGCGTGGTGGTGGCTGGCGTTTGTTCGCCTTTGGTTTTGGCGTGGTTGGTTGGTGGTGGCGTTTGCTCGCGTGTGGTGTCCCCGTGTTCGCTCGCTGGGTAGGTGGTTGGCGTCTGTTTGCCTTGGTTTAGTCGCTGCTGCAGGTCTCGCAGTTGTGTGTCATGGATATGCTCTCTCAGGTTTGGGGAGCTGTCTATGGCTTACACCCTCCTTGTCCTTCTAAGTGTGTCAGTCGATATGCTTTTTTGGAGGTATTCATGGGTGTCTGCCGGCGAAGACACGGTGAGTTGAAGAAGTTCGTTATATAGTCACTCCGGTTGTCTCGCTCCAGTCTGAAGTGTGTGGCTATTCTGGGTCTTGCTGGTGCTGGCATCCTAGCTCCGAATGGTGTTCTGCTACCATTGCTTTGGGCTGTTGGCGTGCTCCCGTTTGTAGGCACTACCTCGGAAAGTAGCCTGTCCTTTTGAAGAAGTTGGCCGAGGGCAGGCTGGGAATCTCACCTTGCCTAGTGGCATGGTGTTGCCCGTGATTGCGGTGCATCGAGCGGGTTGCGGACCGTTGGTGTTTTGGGTGCGGCCTTGCTTGGCTTGTGCTTGGCTAAAGGTTGGTGCCCAGTCACGGTTGGAGATTTTAATTCGTTAGTGGCTCTTTCTTGGGATTGTTCGGGGTCTTCTTTTGTTTTGCGTCCTTCCTCTCTTGTTCCTGTTTCTGTTCTAGAAGGCCACCAGTAGCTGGTGGGGAGGGCAGCAATGACGTTTCCGGAGCTGACCCTGAGATCTGCTGGCGGAGGTTGTGCCTGTGGACCACGGCTACTGCCGTGAGTCCTTCAACCAACCAACCAACCAACCAACCAACCAACCAACCAACCAACCAACCAACCAACCAACCATCCAGCCAATATTTTAAGACTGACCATACCACCGTACGTGTTGCTTTTATCTTTCCATTCGAATAGGTTTCTTCTGGGAACATTTGCCAGGTACCCCCCTATATTTGAAGCATTTTTCTGTGGTTTCCATCCAACAATTCCGTTGAAATCCATGGAATCCCCAGCGTGGCTTGCTAGATCACTTACCACGTGCTTCGATGATTTTCCCGCCTATAAACCCCCATGTGTTCGTATTTTCCCACGGTTTTTCCCAGCTACAAACCTACATTTTCCCTACACAAATAACGCGCGGGGATTGCCCAGCCACCTCCAGTGCTCGGCTCAGTTTGTGTCCACCAACCCCAACAACGAACCAGTCACTGAGATGAAGAGTTCCATGGGAGCCAGGGTGATACGCTGAATCGGTTTGGAACTGGAGATGGCTATTTTGGTTATTTTTATGGTGAGAGCAATGTGAAAATGGGATAATCATGGCATACATACATACATACATACATACATACATACATACATATATATATATATAATATGTATATAAATCCAACCATGTGATAGGGTTTTGCCTGAAAATGAGGGATTTGCCTCCCAATTTATGGCAAAATTGATGGGGAAATGAAATTCTGAAACATCATTTTTTTGAACCCCTAAAATTTTCAGAGACACCCAAGCAGAAACATACCTTTTTTCTAACATTGCACAGAATTTCTCACCACTTGGTATGTTGAACAACTCGAGGAGAGTTCGACCCGCCATGACATTTGTTTCCATTCCTCCAAAGCAATTTGGTCATTCTCGACCATGAATCAGGCAGTTTTTAGGGGTCAAATTATGCCAATTTGTCATATATAGATGGCTGTCGTTGGGTGCCAGTGATGTTGTGGGACGTGCACAGCTATAGTGCCTATTATAGGGATTGCTACTTATACTGCGATGCTCAATTTTATGCATGAATCATGATTTAGTTCTTGAAAGTCAAACTCCTGCTTTACCCACGACATGAGGATTACCCGGAGGTTAAACTTTTGAATTTCCCCCAAAGTGTTGGCAGAAATGTAGCAGCACTGCGGGGAACCAGGGAGGCTGGGTTTGAATCGACCAGATTTGAGATGGCTCTGATTCGAACATCCCAGAGAGTCAGTTGAGGCTCAATATCCCCGGGATTTGCCATAGACACCCAGATGGAACATGTTTCCATCAACATCCATGCCATGTTCTAACCTTGCCTACTAAAATTCCACTTCTGTTGGTCAAATGGCTACGATTTTTTTTGGAGTACGCAAGAATACAAGTGGAGATTCGTGTGATTAGTTGCATTCCCCACATTTCCTGGGCCAAATCCCAATTTTGATCGGGTTGAGTGCTCAGTTCTCATCTCACGTGCAGTCGCTATTTCAATAGATCAAGTCACCATTTTAAGGATTAAACAGATTAAACACATCATTCAACAAGGTCAAGTTACCATTTCAAGGGCTTACATCCCAGTTTCAACTCTTTAATTCTTTTCAAGTACTTCAAATCCCATTCAAGTCTTTAAGATTCCCGTTTCTTTGGCTTAACATCTTCATTTTACGTCCTTGAAATTCCCGGTTCTAAGTGGTGAAACTCGTCACTTTCGGTAAATCCTCCGGTGCCGCGGTGCTCGGTGGCCGCCGCCAACGGCCCAGATGTGTCTCCCTGACGCCAACGCTCAGCCGGTCATCGATGGTTCGGGGACGGCCTTTGCGGCTCGATTTTTGGTGATCCTTTTGTTGCGGATTGAATGAGATAGTTGGATATTCATAATATAGTATGGTTGGATATTCACTATATATGGTTGGATATTCATTAAATTCATTATGTATAATCAAAGTAATAATACAATATACCCTCTGGTAAACTAACATAACTATGGAAAATCACCATTTTTCATGGGAAAACTCACTATTTCTATGGCCATTTTCAATAGCTATGTTACCAGAGGGTACTGTGGATGGGCCAGCAAAATCCAAATCACCAGTCAATCGATGGGCATTTTATAAATCCCATGATTTTGTTTGGGTTGAAAAACCATCCTTTAGGTGGTTTATCGGATTACCATCCACAGTATGATTTGAAGATTTTCCTTGGGACCTGATGGGATCTGATTTGGCGATTCATCGTGAGAAAACCTCTGGGTTTTGTTCATGGCAATCGGAAAAATATCAGCAAAACATGGGCATTTCAGGTGATGGTGGGGATATATCTGGACATACCGGGGATCACTCAGAGAGGGTCATGCAACTTTTCTTTTAATTGTGAATTAAGTCACAATGGAAATACTGAATTGGCACTTGGGTGTGCAGTTTCACTTAACGAGATATGGCAATACGGCTCGAGGGGTTAAATAAGTTATATCCCAACTTGGCATACTCGTCTTTAAGCCCTGCACTCTCTAGTATACTAGGATTTTCCCAGATAAATGAGGTACGAAACCAGACATGATTCAGAGAATATAATTGGATTTAGTGAATCAAGAATATGGGAAATAGGGGGCACAGTCCCAAAAAATGTGGCAACTTACAGTACACAGTAGCGAACATGAGGATCAACCAGTTGATTTTGGGGTGTACAGTATACCATATTTTTGAACAGACATGAACCGGACTCGCAGTCTGATTTTAACAAGTGGTTTATCCACTTTGATAACCTGGTTCAATCACTCAGTTCATCAGTCCAGTTCATATTTTTGGTTAACACTTCTTTGGGGATGGCATATACTGTACTATACCACCCATTTCCGAGAGGTAAACTTGGGGATGGATTGAGGTACAGGTAGTTGCCCCATCAACCCCGGACGAATCTCAGACTCCCTGGGGCAAGATGAAATCACTGGGCAGCCCTCCGATTTTTGATCAGGTTTCAGGACAGGAATGACACTGTATAGTCCATTAGCCCTGTTAAATTCCCAGCATATGGGCCAAAAAACCAAAAACGAACGGAAGCCATACGAAACCAGCGGGATACACTGGTACACTATTGAATATTGGAGGGAAGGGACTCAGTGGGGTTAGGGTTGGACCATCACTGGAAGCTGGTGGATGACATCCTCTAGCCTACTGGTCTATTGGTTCCAATGTTGGGTTATGTAGTCTGTAATGTCAACCCTGGATTAGTAAACCCTAAACGGCTGTGACTAATTGGGGGGTACCATTTAAGTATCAGATTATCACTCTTTGGGGAATACCCCCATAATCAATAAACATAGTTTATTAATCCGGGTTGACATTAATCCGCATTCAAACAGTTCATATAACCCCGAACACGACCACCACCACTCTGAACGTCTCAGCCATCCCCCAAGATTCTGCGACAAGGTGCCCTTCCAGGACGGAAAGGTTTACGCCGTGCGCGATGAGTTTCTTGGCGATCCGTGAGCACCATTTTTCCACCAGTGTTGCCTTAGGTGTCGTAGCTAAGGTAAAGGTTTGGTAAGGCTTCTGGGGCATGTTCCAGTTTGGTTGGGAGAGTTTCAGTATGGTGGGGATTCATCATTGATTTTCATATAACAAGGTATTTCTACGTTGTTTCCCCATCAACAAGGGGATAATAAACCAATCCGCTAATGTCCGTGACCTCCTTGATGCATCACCAGTGGTTGATGATTGATAGTTGAAATCTACTAGTTATAAATGGTTCATAAATTGACTTATCATATTCTATGAGCTTACTAAACTGAAATCGAGAAAGTGGTGGGCTTTCACTGTACCAACTGGTTCACCAAAATCGGGCACTGCTTGGCCCTATCTGTCCAGGTCTCAGGGCTGCCATTTGTATCACCTTGGGAACAGCAAAACTGGAGAAGCCCCAGTCTTTTGAGGCTTCCACACCTTGTGGTGTGGCTTTTTGCCAAATCCATAAAATCCATAAAATCCATCCCCGAAACAGGGCTTTATCATTGGATGTAGCCTTTTTTTGGGATGATTTAAAGTGACCATTGCTGGGAAATTGTTGGGAAATGGTTGGGTATATCCCCATTGTCATTAATCCCATTATATACGTACCACAAAATTGCTGGTTATATCTCGACTTTTGTTGGCTTACCCCATTATCGAGGATTCCTTCCAGGCGCCCCAAACGATAGCGAGATGTTGACACTTCACTTGGTGAATTCTGTGGTTTTTCTTGGGATGGGAATTTCACTGGGGATGGGTCGTTTGTTACCTATGAATTTACCATATGACTGGGAGAATGTTTACATCCAGCTATACCAGCTATGACTTAGGGTACCGTTTGGGTGCCAGGGTTTTGACTCATAACCAGTTATAAACTGTATTGGTTATAAACCAACTTGCCTAGAGAGCAACACCTCGCAGCCACCGGGCGATTCAAATGGTGAGATCGCCCAACGGCTGATCCAAGGAATGGTGATGGCAGCATCACGCCGAACGAGGTTCAGGTGGACCGTTGTGTTTTCTGCCAAATGGTTGGTTTAGAACTCCAACAACGATGGTTTCTGGTACTTACCCTCTATTTAGTTCGTGGATTTACCCATTGAAAATGGTGATTGTCCACAGTCATGTTAGTTTACCAGACGGTATAACTATAGTATTCATATTTTTTTTGGGGGGGTGAATTGAAGCCACCATCTCGTTTGGGGGGCACCACTGGGGTGAAAACGCGGGACTTGCCTCTGGTCATCCAATTTTTTGCGAAAATCAACGTGATCAATAAGTACACCATTGAACTAAATGGGCCGAACTTTTCATAGCTATGTATAGCTATGTTAGATTACCATAGAGTAACCCCCAAAAACAATTCTTTACTGGGAGAATGATGAACCAGCTGGGATCTTGGGGCTTTCACAACATTTTCAGACAAAATTGTCTTCAAATGGGGATGGGTCAAAATGTAAGCCCCAAAAGGGACCACACATTTTCTGCTTAGTATCAACCGACTCTGTGGTCGACTCTTGGGGTTTGACTTCTGGTTGCCCCGCTTTCCGGCGGAGAAAACATGTATCCATTGAAGTAGATGAGTTTTTCCAGTGTCTATAGGTATTCGGTATATGTTCCATCCATTTCTCATCCACTTCTCATAGATTTCCCATGGATTTCCCATGGATTTCCCATGGATTTCCCACCTTTTCCCCACGTTTTCCCCACGTTTCCCAACGTTTTCCACACGTTTTCCACGCGGAGCTGCGCCGCTTCGCCGCAGGTCCACCTGGTCGGCGATGCGTTCCAAGCCTCATCGGCCATGGCACCGGGGATGTTGGCGGTGCTGGACTGCGCTGGAAAGCTGGACGTGGCCTGGTTTTTTTTTGGGCACTGGGAGATGGGAAGATTGTAGAATTATGTTCCTATAGTTACAGATATATATACAGTTATGGCCATTTACCAGTTATAAGTACTAAGAAAACCCCATTTATAGAATGTATAATTCCATTGAAATAACCAGTTATAACTAATAAATGGCCATAACTGTATATATATATACATATAATGGGGATATGATATGGGGATAATATATATATATATCCCATGATATACCCAACATGATATGGGGATAGTTATAGTTATGTTATTGTAGTTAAACCATGCCCAATTGGGCTTTATCATGAATCCCACTATAGTTTCCCCATTGTCATTAATCCCATTATAGTATCTGGTTGGTGCTGACTGGAACCATGGAATTTTATGAATTTCCATATATTGGGAATAGTAATCCCAACTGACGAACTCATATTTTTCAGAGGGGTCGAAACCACCAACCAGTTATGTTATCGTAGTTAAATTTATACTTGCAGGTGCTTGTAGCTATAGTTGTACTTATAGTTGTACTTAGAGTTATGGATATATTTTGTAGCGTTTTTTTTTTCAAATATGGCCTATGACTATGGGTGAATATATATATATATACATACTTGGTGGCTCATCCCACTTAGTAAGGGGTTATAACCCCAGTTACAAGTGGATTAACCCTACTTATCCCATTTATAACTGGGGTTATAACCCACTTACGAGCCGTGGGATGAGCCACCAAGTATTGTTCTGGGAATCCTAAAAAGCGGTGGCAAGACTTGACCTTCCGACTGATCCACCGGAGGATTAGTAGCTCTGTGTTTTTTTCCCATGGTTGCATTGGAACAGGGGAACATCTCTTCCACATTGAAATTTAAAAATTGTAAAGAACTTTGCCCTCTTCTTTTCGACAAGGCCATGTTTCATTTTTTCAACTTTCACCTAAAGTTGGGTTTATGAAGAGATCCGTTTGAGAATCAGGTGCATCACCCAACAAAAGAAAGCTTTTAAGAGGGACATCGATGATGAATCACCAGATGTCGTCTTTTTTTAATCATCAATGGGTATATATATACATTCATTATATACATTATATAATATGTAATGGTCTATGATTTTTATGTTTTTTTGATGGGATTTTCAGGCCATTTTCAGGCCATTTTCGCCAATGAAACCATCCCAAGGTCTTTGGAGGATGATGCAGTTTTTGGTGAAAAACGGCGGAGTCGGAGTCGCCATGTTTGATGACAGAGTGTAAATCATCTTAGATCACCATGAAATCCCATGAAGTCACCATGAAATCACCATGAATTCCCATGAAATCACCATTAAATCACCACTAAATCATCATTAAATCACCATTAAATTATCATTCTACCACCATTTTTGCCAAGTTTCAATCACAGGAGTTGGTCGTATGGGACCATCAAACCTTTGGGCAATGCCAGCCATTGAAGTCGCAGATGATCCAATGATCATTTTTTGTTGAGGGAAGCCCTGCGAATTACATAATGCGCCAGGGTTTATTGACGCGTGCCCGGGGCATTCTCCATAGACGCACAAGAATTCTCGACAAAGAAATCCCTCTGGGAGAGGCACCAAATCAATCCAAATCATCCAAATGTCTCGGTCAGGGATTGGATAAGGCACAAAGTGGAAACCCATGCTTTTGGGGTAGCCCAGTTGTGCAAACGTCCGGAATCGTCCGTATGTAGTTTATAATGATGCATCATAATGTATCACTAGATATGTATGTGTGTATATATATATATATGTATATGTATGCATACACATGCCTAGTGTTTTCTGACTTTTAGATGTATGATATATGTGTAAAAGGCCCGACAGGGAATCAGGGCCCTTTCTTTCGCTGTGGATTCTGCCGAGCAATTTTCCTATGTTCACACACTATCTTGGAAAGATCCGAACTGACAAATACATTTTCACTAGCCTGATCAGGGTCACATCCTCAATCATGACTAATACTTTGACACATAGTGCAATGTGCAAAATCGGTCAGACTTGAAGTTGCTGGAGAACCACAGATTTTGCATTTTTTTATTGTACGTGATCATCCCACATTTGGACTTCGCAGATCCTAACTGGGATATCCCTTCTCACGTTGCGATTCCTGGGCACAGAAATCTGTGGCTCCGTCTCCATTTGGCTCAAGCCGGCTCCTTTGAAGCCAGCTTGACTTCGCTTCATGAAGAAAACATCATGAGGAATTCACGCAGCGATTTTCGGACACTGCCAGGCCAGAACACGTCCTCTGGCATCTCAGAAAATCTGATTCGCACTTGATCAGAATGTTCGCAAAAATTCTGGTTGGTGGTGACTGGAACCATGGAATTTTATTTTTCCATATATTGGGAATAATCATCCCAACTGACGAATTCCATCATTTTTCAGAGGGGTAGGTCAACCACCAACCAGAAAAATTGGTCGATTTTTCACAAGGTCTCCTCCAAGCATTGTTCGGCATTTCGTGCCATTCGTGTGCCAAAGTTTGCCACAATGGAGGCTGCTGCCCTACTGGAGAGGTGCCCGGGCTGGACCGCAACGGGGTTTGTACGTAGGTTCCTCGTCGGAGTCCTGCCAAAGACATGCATGCACAGATTGAATCTTATGTATGTGTAAGTCAATGTGTACATATATGTATATAATATATATATATATATATGTACACAATTAGATACATACAGTATACATTGATACATACATACATGGATGCATACATACATACATACATACATACATACATACATACATCCATGCATGCATGCATGCATGCATGCATACATATACATGTGTATATATATATATACACTATATACATTCATTCATACACGTTTATTTTTCTGTTTATCTCGGGGGCGGATGTTTGCAGTCCTGAATGGAATTCTGTCGATTTCGGGCAAGCATCAGACCCGCAGCGGATCTCAAAATCACAAGTAAAATATGGGTGCACTGGCAAGTGTACTGGTGCTGGCATTCGCGAGGTAGCCATTTTGGGTTGGGTGCTTGAAATCCTTGAAACATTGTTTGGCTTATGGTGTGAGAGTTTGGGGCTTCCTGTGAATTTCCTCATCTGAAAATCTGTAGCACTTGGTGATTTACCGTTCTGACAATGATCTTCTGGGGATATTGCCACACCATGATTTATCACAACATGACACAACATGAAGTATATTTCTTCTTTGGACCAACCTCATGAATTACATGATGATGTACAGTATGTATGATTCCCGGGATATATGATATATATATACAATATTTGATGCCAATATTCAACATATTCTTGGTTGAATATCTACCCAGTGGTGAACGGAGGGAGCGGTTCGGCGGTGAAGGGAGCGCTTCGGCTATGGCCAGAAATTCCCAAGAAAAGCCATGGCAACAGCCAGTTGGAGCTACTAAGAGTTTCCCAAGCATATTAGATAGTACCCTCTGGTTATGTCAAAATCGCTATTGAAAATGACCATAGACATAGTGGATTTACCCATGATAGCATGGTGATTTTCCATAGTTATGTTAGTTTATCAGAGGGTAATCTATACCTAGTAATCTATACTTGGTGGCGAACTACCCACGGCTCGTGGTTGTGGGTTAGTGAACTACCCAGTTTTTTGAGTGGATTAACCCGCTCCAAAAATCCCATTTATAATTGTGGTTATAACCCACTTACGAGCCGTGGGATGAGCCACCAAGTAGCATCATATTTCACTAAGATTTCACATGATATCACCATGTTTTTTCACATGATATTGCTAGAGTTTCTCTCATGATTTCCCCCATGCTTTGTGGCAAGCCTCGCCAACGTGCCTCTTGACGTAGGCCCGGACGCTTATTGGTGCGGGCGCCCGGGGGACGAGAGATCACCATTTTTTGAGTGGAAAAACTCACCACTTTTTTGATGGGAAAACTATAGCTATGAAATCAACGAAGTTTCGACATGGTTACCCTCTGGTAAACTTTCACATAGGAATGGAAAATCACCATTTTTCATGGGAAAACTCACTATTTCTATGGCCATTTTCAATAGCTATGTTAAATTGCCAGAGGCTGATTTTTCCGAAAATTCAGGTCATCTCCATATAAATCTCCATATTTAAGAGGGGATTTCAATCCCAGATTGATGATCTTTGAATGAGTTCTCCATGTGGGATTTCCCGTGGCGATCTTTGATGGCCGAAGTATAAGTGAACCGGCGCCGTAAAACATCACGCCGGTCATCATCCCTCCTGAAGAACGCCAACCATACAGTCACTATTGTGTGAAGTCGTTGCCCAAAGACTCTCAAGCTATTTGATCTACAATTCCTGATTGGTACTTGGTGGCTCCTCATTTTCGGATCCTGTCCGTAGATTATAACTTATAACCCTGGTTTTGTTCGTGGGTGGGATATATAAGGAGCGGTAAATATCCACCAACGTAACTAGGGTGAAGTAAGCCACTTAGGATTTTTGTGGGATGAGATTTGATGATCCCCACTGGAATGATGGTTGAAACGGAGGAATCTAATACCCGAAACGGTTGAAGAACTTTTATCCAGGTTAGATTGTAGCAAGCCAAATAGATAGAACCGTCATTTAACTCACCATTTGAGTATGCGCCATAATTTGTTTTTCGATTTTTTCGGGGGTTACTACATACCTACCATAATTTACCCAGGGTTATCTGGTATATCACCATTGTTTCCTGAAATTGATGTGAACGTTTGCAGGACACCCTAATGAATGTGACAGAAAACTATGATTATAGCCATCACGAAATCCATTGCAATTATAGCCATCACCTAATGCCTATGGAATATCATTTACAGAAATGAGTATACCTCTAGTAACCCCCAAAAAAAGATAGAACTATAATCTATCACTACTTTACTATTCGACTTTTTTTTTTGGGGGGGGTTACATTCGACACCCCTATTTTCGTCCCATCATCTGGGCTCCCTGGAAATTCCACCGATATTTACAGCTACGAATCTTGGAAGTGCAGTTCCAGTTTTTGGAGGATATATATATATATACATAATAGAATATATATATATAGTATAATATATATAATATAATATAATATAATATACTATAATATAATATAATATATTATAATATAATATAATATATAATATATAATATATAATATATAATATATAACATATAATATATAATATATAATATATAATATAATATATATTATATAATATAATATAATATGATATAATATATAATATAATATGATATAATATAATATAATAATATGATATAATATAATATAATAATATGATATAACATAATATAATAATATATATAATATAATATAATATATAATATAATATAATATATAATATAATGTAATATAATATATAATATAATATAATATATAATATAATATAATATAATATAATATAAAATATAATATAATATAATATAATATAATATATAATATAATATAATATATAATATAATATAATATAATACATACTATAATATAATATATAATATATAATATAATATAATATAATATATAATATAATATAATATAATATAATATAATATATAATATAATATAATATAATGTAATATAATATAATATACTATATATAATATAATATAATATAATATATAATATCATACAATATATAATATAATATAATATAAGATAAGATATAATATAATATAATTTAATACAATATGATATAATATAATATAATATAATAAATATATGTACATAACCATAGTTCGAGTCGGGCAGCATCTCCCAACTTATAGGGCTTGTTTCCCATCATGGCGCTCCTTTTTGGAGGCGCGCTTTTCGACTCGTCAGTTGCAGTATCTTTGGCAAAAAACATTCAGGATTTTCATGGGAAAACATGACAGTTAATATTGATACTACATGAAACATATGCTAGTTGATATTAATCATGTTAGCTAAGATATATATATATATATATATAATATGTAATATAAACATTAACTATCATACAATACTACAATGTTTCTATCATGACAGTTATTATTGATAGTTTATATTCATGATAGTTAGTAAAATCATGCTAGAATGATTTCTTAATAGTGAACTGTAATAATACTTATTGGTGAAGTAATTATATAATGCTAAATAGACTTATTTGATAGTGATAGAATTAAGCACTGCAATAATGGTTTAACCTACATCGTTTCACCCAGGTTTTAGGGGGCTTAACATGATGTTGATGTTTACCATTATATATTTCGTGGTCCTATAAACATTGTGGATAAAGAATGTTGAGCCCCAAGAATTGATGGGATACCCTCTGAAAAACAAACAAAAAGCTATTGAACATGGCCCAGTCGAAATAGTTGTTTTACCCAGCTATAAAATGGTGATTTTCCAACATTTTTTGTATGTTTACCAGAGGGTATATGATCATCAATTGGGGCTTAACATGGTGATGTTTTTGTGATCTCATGGGAAGATCATGTGGGAAATGGCCTGGGATATCTCAACGCCTGAAGGGCCAATGGCAGCCTCAACATGGACATGATTTTGAGGGGGAACTGATGATCAAAAAGTTGATTTCTTGGAACAATTTTTTCAGATCCATATCTATAATAAATGATCCATTATATCCGTTATATCCATTACATATCACCAGTATACCCTCCAGTAAACTGCCACATAACTGTTGGACCATCACAATTGTTGATAGGTAAATCAACTATGAACGGCCATTTTCACTAGCTATGTTAGTTTCAAAGAAGGTACCCCATTGAATTGAACAAACTCAAAGGCAAGGGCTTGAACTGACCTGGGTCGAATGCCCATTGAACCGACCCCAGGTTCAAGTGAAAAACGTCCCCAGCGTCATCAAATGTTGGCTGGAGAAGCCCCTATTTGGTTCGACATTTTTTTCAGCAACAAAAGCCTCCATTTATACAGGATTTTCGTGTTCAGAGAGGATTGTCCCATTCAAAAGCTCGTTTCAGTTCGATCCTTTTCCCAGCAATGCCAAAGCCTCCATTTTCATGGGGATTTCCCAATGCTACGCTTGATGACACTGGAGGATATATATATATACATATGTATATATATATATATTAGATTTTCTGATGGTTGGGTAGGATCCTTTGTGTTTTAGTGAAAAGTTAGAACCAGCTCATCATATTTGCCATATGTCAACAAGGAGATTCCTTCAGATTTATCAATGTGAACAAAGGTTGGAAGGGTGGGTAGTGCAACTACCCAACTTATCTTCTAAGCACCGAAACCAGCCTCAGATGCAAATTTTCCATTGCGGGACAGCTGCATTAAAAACACCACATGGCAATGGTTTTCACGGCTGCATTGGAGTTGGATTCTATACCACTTGGAACTCCTTCACGGAGTGCCAAGCTGCTAGGCTTTCACGGCATTGACATGTTTCATTCTGCATGTGGTTATTTGATTGGGGACATGGTATATTTTCTTGAGCGGTGGCGAACCTTTTCTTCGCGGGTACCTCCTTGAAGTTCAGAAGCCGGAACAATTTTGGTGCATGACTTTTGCTTCAAACACGTGACCAACACTAGGCACATTGGCGATATGCGCGGCAACTATTAAGGGTTTTTACCTCAAAATATACAATTTGGACGGTGCCTTTCAATAAAGAGCAATGGTTTCAAATCTTTTGGTCCAACTTATGCACACCAGAATTGCATGGTCATGATGGCAGTCCAATAAAAATGGCTTTAGGAGTCATATCTTGCGACCTAAAAGACCCCTAAAAGACCAGCAGCAGTGATAAGTCAATAAGTGGGAGTTTTGTTGTATATACTGATCATAACTGATGTAAATAAGGGCATGTGGAGACATAATGTGTGGGTCTACTAGTCTCATTTTGCGACCCTGACCCCTATAAACGACCAGCAGCAGAAATCAGGTAATAAATGGGAATTTTGTATACATATTCATTTACTGGTGATAGCTGATATAGAGGGTAGTGGATACATCATATTCCCGGTGATTGCTCCTTTACGCTTCACGGAAGCATTTGTAGCGACCCATGGATTTTCCCATTGAAGCCAATTGAAACTTAGGATATCCCAGCAAGTCTCTTTGGGGATCGCATTGTACAGAAATCATGCCATTGGCAAAGGTGTTCTTTACTTTTTATCCGGGCTCCATTGGAGAACGCAAGAACATTTTTGATTCGGACATTGTAATTATTTTTTGACTTGCTGGCTAGATGGACGAGGAATGTTTGTGACTGCACCGCGCGTGGCAGGCGCAGTACTTGGTGAACGTAGCATAATTACGTGGCAGGCGCGGCATTTACCTTGCACGTTGTTGCCGGCTCTATCTGGATGAAAAAAGGACGATGAACATTCCAAACTTCGCACGTCGATGACATGCCGCGCCTGACTGGCCAACCGTGAGCCGGCGAAAACCAGCATCTTGGCCATCAATTTTGCTTTGAACTTTGGCCCGCCCGCAGCTAGAACCATTGCCCACACCAAAAGAACCCAGGGAGCCAGCCCTGTTCATGTTCTTTAGGCGTTAGGCGTGCTGCCCATGGAGCCTTGCCTTAATTGCCTGCGTGCCTGCACGCAAACCACCATTTTCATGTTTACCTGGCTCGCTACCGTGAGGGTATTTTTTTGCGGGCAAGATGTTTGTAGTTTGCGCCGCTACCAGCTTCAGGTTTCTCTGCCCGGACTGTGGATCGCAGGAGGCAGGAAGGGTAGGATTTTTTTTGGCAGCATGGTTTGCCGCAAATTATGGCGAGTAGGCAACCAATCAAACAGCCCCAAGCATTGCCTGCCCTGAGTTTGATAAACTTCTGTAAAAACCTTAAAACCTCCGGGGGATACATTCAACTATGGGTGGGACGAATCAAGGGGAGACATGAAATATATCATATCATATCATAGCATGTCATATCATATCATATCAAATCATATCTATGATATGTATACATTATATATATATGCTACATATATATATGATATATATATATATGATACATATATATAAATATATCATATATATATGATATATATATGATATATATATGATATATATATATTTATATGATATATATTTATGATATATATATCTATATATTTCTCTATATATATATTACATATATGATGCATATGCATATCTATATATACATGATATATTTTTATATAAAATTCATATGTATATATATATATATATGATATATTATATATGTATATATATCACACACATACATAACATATATATATATGTGTGATATATATTTATTATATATATATATATCATATATATATAACACATATTTATATATGATATATATTTATATATCATGTATATATATATTTCATATCATACATACATACTTAAAAATAAATACATATATATATATATCATATATATATATCACATATATATATATATACATATATCATATATACATACATATATATATATATCATATATATATCATATATATATATATATCACATATATATATATATGCATACGTACCATATATGTACAATATATATATATACATACATACATACATACACACATACATATTTTATTTTTTTGATATTTTATGGATGGGAATGATGGAGACACAAAGACAGCGCACCTATTTAGCCAGCAGCAAAACGGGAAAACAACCAACAAAATTGAGGATGGAAGAGAAGGAATCCGGACACATCAAAGGAGTATGACGACATGGGAAGTTGCATTGGGTGAAACGTGGGGTCAAGGAAGGTATGGGCCCAGATGTTTTTTCGGTGCCTGTGTGGTAAAGGTATCGATACTTTTAGCCATGAATGCCCATAACCCATTGCCCAAATTGACAAAGAAAATCAGCTATTGGGCAATGAGTTATGGGCAATGGGTGCACGTGTCAGATTATTTGTGTACACATATGTACCCATAGTTGTACTATTGTATTCTCATGTCGCTTGAGTACACACGATTTTTGGAGGATTCGCAGGGACATTTCGGGAACCACAGTCACTGGACACAGATGACGTGCGGACACTGCAATGAGCGCTGGATAGTACCACATTAATCCGCACAAAATGGTTGTAGGTGCTTCTTTTAAATCAAGGGGTAGCAGTTATCATTGGTGTTACGGGAGTTTTTTTTTTTGAACATGCCATACCAAGTTTGTTTAAGATAATTGTGTCACGGCATCAGAAAACACCAAGATGGTTTGGAGGTTTCAAATGTGTTTTTTCGCCATCGACGAGCGAAATTCTCACAATCCCCAGGTGGAACATATTACACGGATGGGTTGAAACCACGAACTGAATATTGCAATGGTCCCCCTTTGCTGAGGTGCTAAAGATCCACTTCACCGGACATGGTGTAGATGAAACAACCGCATAAACTTAGTGCCGCTCGAAATTGGCACGAACAAATTGCGGGTCTCATTTTCTGAAAATGATAGCATTGATTCACCCACCTTGCAAAAAGGCACAGCAGGTCAAAAATGTCCATGATAACTTCTGTTGCTCCGGTGCTGGTCGTACTTCCATGGGCTCAATGAGGGAACGAAGTTCACGAATTACCTGGCCCATACCCGGAGCCTCCCCGAGCGCGCCATGTCGCTACCCTTTGGAGCTACCCTGTACCTTGGGATATCTGGGAGGCCGCATAGGACCAAAAAAAATTCAAGTCTATACATAATTTTGATCTAGCTGACCCCATGATGGGTATATATGGTATGCATGATGGTATTTACATATATAAATTATCATGGTATACATGGGACCATACCCAGTACATGAAATATACCATGATGGTCAAGTGACCATGGGATTTACATGTTTTTTCTGGTGTATGGTCATCCCGTCATGGAAATCTTTGTTTGCCCATCCCCATGACTGGGGGCTGGGTTTATATATTATATATCCAATTTAGCACGCCTTTTTTGTGTGTGTCGTAGCACATGCGTGATGTGTTCAGAAACGCCGATGGATTTTTCATGACCAGAATCGGTGCTTTCTGCCTGGAACATTTTGACCCATTGGCTAATGTGTATCATGCTGCCACATCGAGTTGGCAAATGATCGAGTTGGCGATCTCACGTCGTAGCAATGGGAGCACTCTGGATCCCAAATGTTGGCCAAAATGTGAAACCTAATATAGGTAATGGTTCGGGAATGATTAAAAAGGGAAAAATCTATAAGAATCTGAAGTGAAGATTGGTTTCCAGACACTTGAATCTAACTGTGTTATTGAAACATCTATCCCACCTGGATCGATAAGCAATGCAATCAAGACATGTCTGTAGCATCACATTTCCCACATTTTCCCGATCTAACATGTGTAGGGAGGCGCTTTCCCGCTTTGAAAATCGTCGAATAAGTACAATGATCCTCCAATCGCAGGACAACATTTGAAGCCATTTTCGTGTCAGTTCATTTCCAATTCTCATGTCCCGTGAGTTCACCACAGATTCCCTTCCTCAAATTGTGTGTTTCCAAGTTTTTTCTCAAATTTTCCTCAAAATTTTCTCCAGATTTTCCCCAAATTTTCCCAGATTTTCCCAGGTTTTCGCTAGATTTCCCCATGACTTTCATGGCCAGCCCAGGTTCACCCCCATCGAGTCGGGTCTGGGCGGCATGATGATCGGTGCCGCCGCAGCCATGGCCTATTTGATCGACGGCCGCATCACCGGCATCAGCGGTACCGCTGATGGATTTGGGGGGGACGTTTTGTTTTTTTTTGGTTGGATTTTGGTGGAGAAGTTTAGAAATTTTTGAGGATTTTGGAGAAATTTGGAGATTTTTGAGGATTTTGCTGGAGAAGTTTGGAGATGTTTGAGGATTTTGGTGGAGAAGTTTAGAATTTTTTGGAGGATTTTGGTGGAGAAGTTTGGAAATTTTGAAGATTTTGGAGGGGAATTTTGGAGATTTTTGGGGGAGAGGATTGGAGATTTTTGAGGATTTTGGTGGAGAAGTTTAGAGATTTTTGAAGATTTTGGTGGAGAAATTTGGAGATTTTTGAGGATTTTGGTGGAGAAGTTTGGAGATGTTTGAAGATTTTGGTGGAGAAGTTTAGAAATTTTTGAGGATTTTGGTGGAGAAATTTGGAGATTTTTGAGGATTTTGGTAAAGAAGTTTGGAGATTTTTGAGGATTTTGGTGGAGAAATTTGGAGATTTTTGAGGATTTTTGGTGGAGAGGTTTGGAGATTTTTGAGGATTTTAGCCTATAAATATTGTAACGGAATATCTCGCATCTGTGGTCTGCATTCATCCCTGCGCGTGAGGTGCGCTCGGGCATCTTCTGTCTGTTGTATATACGCTCATGCACCGGTATAGCCACTATATATATATATATATACATACATATATAAAGACATAAAGATATATACATACATATATATATATATAAATATGACACATAAACAAAACGGTCTTCTTTGCTGCAAGCCACCCGAAATCTTCCCCGAAGGCTTAATTCCGCCTGTTGTGACTTCGGGCCAGGCGCGTCACCTTCGACGCCACTGCCTTGTCCCCTGCGCGTCATCTTTTCCTCGCGTCCAAGCCTCAAAGCTTCCATGTGCCGACGGCAGTGCATCAGCCATGTGGCCATGTTGCATCTGGTCATTGTTGCATGTTGAACCTTTGCATATATGTGACTTGCCCGCAGCAACAGCTTCGAAGAGCTGTTTGGTTTTTTTCGCCTTCTCTCCAATCTCTTGTCGTCCGCGCCTCAGATCAAATCTTCCACTTTTGTTGCCGCACATGCACGCAGGCATCGCCCCTTTGCTCCGTTTATATATTCTCTCCCTGTATGTCTATTGCCGGTCACCCAAGCAGTGGCCTGCATTGGAGACATTACTCTCTTTTCGGGCCGCTGGGCGGACATTGCGCTGGAGGAGGCGGGCCTGGGACGGTGCACCGACAAGTGCACCTGAATCGCTTGCCTTGCTGCATGCCAGGAACCGGTTCCTCTGGAGGCACGGCTGCTTGCTTTCGGGTTTGGGAGGTAGGGCGGCTGCCATATCCCTTCCTGAGAGGACTACGTCCTCCAGAACCCGGCGCTCCTTCAGGAGTTGCAGGACGCGGTGGAGGCCCAGCAGTTTTGGATTAATATCCCACCGTGTCAATGCGGGTAGATTGCTTGCCACCTGTCAGGTGCCATTGAAGAGCTCCACCGTGTCCTTGGGCGGCGTGGGCAAGAAAAAGGCAGCGTCGCTGACAGTGTATTATTTTCAAAACAAACTTTCCTGGTCCTGGCCGTGCAGGCACCGCGCCGCCGCGGTGACGGTGGTATCTTCTTGCCCGAGCCGGAGATGAAGAAGGGCGCCATGCGCTGCAGCCTCAGTCTGCCTGCATCATCTGTTTGCATCATGCAGCACTCCGACACGCCGATGCCGAGGGCCTCGCACCGTGCGAGAAACGCTGGCGCAACAAGCTCGCAAAGGAGCGCGCAAAGGCGGGGCTTTGGAATATTTGGGACTTGGCCCTGCGCTCGTGTCGTTGGGTCGTTGGACTCCTCAATGTTTGAGGCGGCAAAGCACCGCCGCGCGGCACCTTCGCACAAAGCCACTGGAGCTGGAGCGGTCGCGGCCTCAAATCGCCATCATATGAATCATGACAGTCTTGGCCTTGTGTTTCTTTGAACGCCGAATCTTTCTTTTGCCTTGAGGGCGCCACCGGCCCTGCCAAGCCGCCGTCGGTCCCTGCCTTAGATTGTACCGACTGCCGTTTCTTCTTTTCTTCTGCTTTGTATAAGATTTTGTAAGCACATACATTTGCATCGAAAGCATTCGCAAGCCATTTCAAGGCGAAGACTGGGGCGGCGCCCGCTTCGGCTCCGACTTTCTTCTGTTCCAACCTTGTCCCCAGCTCAGAGGTCGTATATACGTGTATATATATATATATAAATGACGGTATACCTCGATCTTATTATCCTGTCTGCCTTGCACAACGTCGCCACGCCGCAGATGTGCCTCAGGATCGCGGCCAAGAGCGGCGGTTCCTCAACCGCCGCGCACGCGCAGGCGCGTGCTGCGTTTCTCGTGTTGCTGCGCGTCCATCCCTTTGCAATGTTGCGTTGCTTGTCGTCCAGGCCTCAGCGACAAGGCGAACAGACCGCCGTCCCTCGCCGAGTGGACGGCGGATGTCACGCGCGTGCCCCAGCGCGTTTTTGTGCTTGTCCTTTCTTCAGGTTTCCGTTGCATGCACGTCCTGCCCATCGCATGCGTCACTCAGGCTGCGTTCCGATACAGACCTAACAACCTGACCAACAAGGCCTGGGGCCAAGTGATTACTTCCAAAATCCTCCAAACCTCTCCTTATATACACACTGTTTCTTCGTCTTCTTCTTCTTCTTCTTCCTCTTCCTGCTTCCGAGGAACGCAACAGAAAGGCACATGCGGCCAATGGCAACACCAGCATAGTGTGTGTGTGTGTTGTGTGTGTGGTGTCCTCAGACCGCACTCTATGTACATACATGCTCCATTGCATCCCGGTATCATCCGGTATATCCATCATTGATCCCAGGCCAACTGCCCCGAGGTGCCCCACGAACAAGGCTCGGGCCGACGACTTTTTATTTTTACTGCTCATTCTATATAGCGCTGTCAATCCCCTTCATCTTCTTCTGTACTGACTTTGTGAACGCGGAGGAGCGCAATCGCAAAGCGCACGCAGAGAACGGAAACACCTCTGTTCCCTTCTCTGCAGCGCCTGTGCAGCCGCCTGCACCGTGCGTCCCTCAAATGCGTCGACTATTTTTAATAGCTGCTAGCTCTCTTGCTCCGGGCCCCTTTCTGCTTCATGTTTCTTTTTTCCCGAGGTTGAAGGAGGTGTGGTCGACCGCGCCTTCTTCGAGCAGCTTTGCCGGGAGCCTGCCATCATGAGGCCGGATTTCATGTTGCTCCATGCATGCACGCGCAAAATTAATGAACTAATTACATGTCCTGCTATATAGTGGTGCGATGTGATCGCGCATTCAAATATGGTGAATCGAATTGCGCTTCTGATGTTTGCTGTCAGGCGCGAACCGGGCCTCTGCACCTCCAAAACGCTGAAGTTCTACGACTTCTTTTGCAACAAGCTGTCCGCAGAGGCCCGCTCTTGGCCCTTTTACAAGATTATTTATAACTGAAACCCCTTAAATTGACTAAAGCTCTTGCTAGGTGCAAGCCCGGGCGCTGGAGCAGGCCGGCGTCTACATCTTCAAAGAGCCGGCCCGCCCAGCAAGTGCGATGGTCTAGTTAGTGTTATAGTGCTCTCTTCACCCATCTTTGCCCCGGACCTGTTATGACCTTTCTCCGCCAGCAGCCCGACGGACAGGCAGGGGCAGAGGGGCAGCGGCCGCGGCGGCGGCGGCAGCAGCGGCAGCAGCGGCAGTACCCACGCCGGCACCTGCGATCGAGGAAGTCATGGATGCTAGGGAGAAGTTTGGAGATTCTTGGGATTTTGGTGGAGAAGTTTGGAGATTTTTGAGGATTTTGGCGGAGAAGTTTGGAGATGTTTGAGGATTTTGGTGGAGAAATTTGGAGCTTTTTGACGATTTTTGGTGGAGAGGTTTGGAGATTTTTGAGGATTTTGGTGGAGAAGCTTGGAAATTTTTGAGGATGTTGGTTGGAAACGGTTTAAAAAAACATTCACATAGGCATCTTCGATTTCTGGCTTTTAGCGGCTGAATTTCCCCAATCAGTCCCTGCCTCTGCGAATAGCTCGCAAATGTGATTTTCCCAAATGCGGAACCGCAGCCACGTCGTCCGGCGCCAGCGAAGCCCTCCGCCGCCAAGGCTACACCCGGACGAGGGTAAGCCAGCTCTGGGCAGAGTGCCAACAAAGCCCACCGAGGAGTTGGGCCCAGAGGCAGCGCCAGAGCGCGCAGGACCAACCACAATGCATTCACGATGCCTCGAAAGAATTAAATAGCACGAATGATGCACCATCAATTATATATCCTGATTCTATCATAGATTGCTTGAGCAAGTAGGTTGATCACCGATGACCGGAGAAGTTTGGAGATTTTTGAGGATTTTGCTGGAGAAGTGAAGATTTTTGGTGGAGAGGCTTGGAGATTTTTGAGGATTTTGGTGGAGAAGCTTCGAGATTTTTGAGGATTTTGATGGAGAAGCTTGGAGATTTTTGAGGATTTTGGTGGAGAAGCTTCGAGATGCTTGAGGATTTTTGATGAAGAAGTTTGGAGATTTTTGAGGATTTTGGTGGAGAAGTTTGGAGATTTTTGAGGATTTTGGTGGAGAAGCTTGGAGATGTTTGATGATTTTGGTGGAGAAGTTTGGAGATTTTTGAGGATTTTGGTGGAGAAGTTTGGAGATTTTTGAGGATTTTGAGTTTTGAGAATTTTGAGAGATTTGAGTGGATGTCGGTGCAACATTCTGGAACTGCAACAACAATTTTGGTGTGTTATATTATGGATAATGGGTTAATGATGGTTAATGACTATATAATGACTAATGACTATATAAAGACTATATAATTGCTATATAATTACTATATAATGATAATCTAATGACTGTACAATGACTATGATCTTTAAACAGCCATGTGGTTTATCATGGGAGTGAGCAAGAGTCGTTTATGGATTTTAGGTCATGTTTGGTGGATGTTCCATTTTTTCGGGTATGAACATGCATAAACAACTACAGTATTTTTTTTGGACACATAGCCTGGGCATCTCCCAAGGTAGGCCGAACGCACTTCAGGTGAAGTTTTAGCCAGGTTTGTGGAGGGATGATCTGTCCTACCCAATTGTTTGGGAGGGGAGCAGTTCGGTTGGGGAGGCGTTGATGTTGGACAATCCATCGTGCTGTTTTAGGTGGGATTTGGAGGGACATATATATATATATATATGTATGTATATATATATATTATTTAATATATGTGTATATATATGTATATATATATGTATATATATATATGAATATATACATATATATGTATTTATATATGTATATATATATATATGTATAAATAAATGTAACTATTGTCAAAATTGATGGAGACTCCTTGATTGATGATGCTGGAAAGGAGAATTCATCCTAAACTAATGGATAATTGGAAGAGGATTCTGGTTCAATCTGGTTGATTCATGAGGTGCGAACTGCGGGAGCTCTGCCGACTGAATTTCCAAGAAATGATGGGATCTGAACAAATCGGGGTATCAGTGAATATCTGGTTGGTGGTTTGGAACATTTTTTTTTTCCCCCAATAGTTGGGATGATGATCCAATCTGACTCACATTTTTCAGGAGGGTTGAGACCATCAATTAGATATGGTTCTGTGAACCAATCATCCATGACGCATCTTTTCTATCTTTCTTGTGGTTGTAGCCCAATTGACTTGTGTTCTTCAGATTGGTTGCTTAGCTACCAACCCATGTGACAGTGATACATGGGAATGAGTCAAGATAGACCAGCTACCCTCATGAACTTCAAAAAACGGACCACACATGCTATCTTGGGACCATATAGTACTATATACCATATCTATATGTATATCATAACACACATTCGCGCTCTCTCTCTCTATATTTATATGTATATATATATAGATAGATATATATATGTATATCTATATCTATATCTATATCTATATCTATCTCTATCTATCTATCTCTATCTCTATCTATCTATCTATCTATCTAGCTATCTATCTATCTATATATATATACATACATACACAAATATATGTGTGATTACATTCATATTCACCTCTCCAAGTTTGGTCTCCATTCCCAGCGTCCGAGCTGAGCGGAGGTATCATGGGCCCCTTCTTGCGCGGAGTCGCCAAGTGCGAACCGCTGAAGGACCGGCCATGGCTTGGTGGCCGTCGTGCGGAAAATCCATGGGAAATGGGAAACATACGGTAAAAAAACACAGAAAATACAGCGAAATCAGCTAGAATTGGAGGCTTTTAGCTGGGAAAAAGATGAGACATGATGGGAAAATAACCTATCAAAGGAGGTTTTTAGCTGGGAAAACATGGGAACACCTGTATTTAATGGGATTTTGATGGGGGTTAACGGGACTTAATAGGAGAATCAAACGTTGCTAGCTGGAACACCCCGAACTAGCCATGGAGGACAAAATAGCTGTGACAATCATTGAACTAATGATAACTAATGTGGATTTTCCAGCAAGTCATGTTTGATGATCGGATGGTAATGGTAACCATCTTTATCAATAATTACCATTGCCATGATAACTTTATCAAACAAGTATATTACCATTACCATTTTTATATATAGTTTTGAGAGATTGATTTCCTTCATCTTTGGAAACCCACATCTAATTGACAGATGGAAACCATATATGGTAACAATATACTTACATAGATGGTAACCATCTTTACCCCAAAAGTGTTACCATATAATGACACTTTTGGCTCCTGAATCGGTCATCTTTGGGGTTGTGATCTCCACTCGCTGTGAATCTGGGAATCCGCTTCCGCGGCTGGCTGCTTTTTGATCTGCCAGGGTCAGCGGTCGGTCAGCGCGGGCGGGAACTGGGAACTGGGAACTTTCTGAGTGCTGCACTCTCCAACATCATTGAGATAGGGATAGATAGGGTATAAATCAATGTCTCGTTAGCCAACTTACATACTGTGGATGGGCCAGCGAAATCCTGCACCACTAAAAGGATGATTGAAACCCTATAAATCAGTGTCAAGTCATTCTTGATCAAATCAAATCCAGAGCTGTGGTGAGTATTTTCAGCCTGTTCTTCATGTTTTATACATTTTATACCTGTGTTTCAGAATCGGAGTTGATTCATCATTTTTCAGGCAAGGACCTCACTTAGGGGAAACCCAGGGTCTCTTGGGCATGTCCTGTTGGATGTTATATATATATAAAAACCAAGTATTAAGTTTGAGGTAACTGAGGTAGATCATGGGGTGTGTGACCATATATATATATATACACATAATTATATAATTATAAATATATATAGTTATATTTTAAATATACATATATATATATATAAATATGTATATATTTATAACAGTGTCGGACCGTATTTATGCTTTTTTTGGAACCAGGTGGAACCAGCTTCCCTCATCAATTTCTAAGCCCTTCACTGCTTCGCTTCCCACCCATCTGGAAAATCCACTATAAATGGTGTCTTCATGTGAAAATCATCTATAAATGTTGGGATTTTCCATTGCTAGGTTTGATTGCCGGAGGGTATGGGAGTTGTTTTTTCCACACAGGCCAGACTTCTTTTCTTGTTTTAGTTTGGGCAATCAGTCTTTTCTATCAGATAGCTGCAGGGCAGTGCCCCATATTTAGCTAAGTTGGTTAATAACTCCAATAACTATGGTTTATGGTACTTATAACGAAGTAGTTACTGGGGACTATAAATCAACGTTCACATCACTGGGGGCCCCACATTGTACAAATAACATTTTTAGGGAGATGGATATATCCATGCAAACTACAGGGGATTCCCTGGCGACTCATCCCCAAATCACTGTTCCATAAAAAATCCCACAGTAAAACCCCTGATTCACTGATAATGCTATATTATATCACCATTATAGTCTGACTATACCAGTTTTCATTCTACATTATAGTTTGATTATATCATCGCATTAGAACGACAATAGAATCGCATTGGAATCCCAGGAGGGTCAGCTGTGGAAGATGCTCTTCCTCGTTGGTCGCAAGTCTTGACAGGGCCATGCGGATGCTTAAGGGAATGTTGGCATATATATATATTTATATACATACATAATGTATGTATATATATACAATGTAAATACATAATGTATATATATACATACATAATGTATATATATATACATAATGTATATATATATATATGTAAAATGATATATATATACACATACACAAAACGTGTATATATATATATATGTATAATTATTGTATATATGAATAGTAATATACTGTACCTATGTATAACTGGGGGTCCCCAAGTCACAATGGTTGAATAAATACTAAAATGGTTTAATGACTAGGGTAGCAACCCCCAATTAGACTGGAAACTATGTGGAAAACATCATTCCCTGGAAACACTTTTCGGCATTTTTTTGGGTTGCTATATCTGTATATCAATGTATAACTGGGGATGTTGGCTGAAATTGGCACAGAGATCATAGATAAGCTGTATGTTAACTAAGTATTGCAATGATGTCAATGTCCATATATAACTGGGGATTATATATATATGTATAGCTGGGGACATATTTAAACTGACACAGGGGAAAGATATTGACCCAATGATATATGTATTTATATTGTAAATATAACTAGGTATATATATATATATATCGGTATGTACATATATATATATATATCTAATCGAATCTAGTCTAATCTAATCTATCTATCTATTCCTAATGTATATAATTGGGGTGTACTTAAATTGACACTATATAGATATAGATAACCATGACAATAGCTGGAACATTGCATGCTAAACTGTATAATAAATGGGGGTTCAACCAGCAAAACGTACGGGGATTTACTGGAAAACCCAGGTGGTAAACCCACTGCCATACAGAACTACCAGGTGGGAATGGTTGAAATCCCACCCATCCATGGTGATTTGGGGGACGGTTTATGGCATTGAATTTAGCACACTCGTCACCCCAAGTACCCTTTGGTAAACCAACATATATAACTATGGAAAATCACAATTTTTAATGGGTAAATCCACTATAAATGGGCCATGTTCAATAGCTTTTTGTTAAATTACCAGGCCGGGTAGATGGATGACTCTCCCAGGATTTTCCCATGTTCTGATCCAATTCTCAGAGATTTTGCCATCGCTGGTCCCATCATTTTAAGCCATAGATCTTCCCATAGATTCCCATGATTTTTGCTGGATTTCCCTATATTTTTGCTGGATTTTCCCCATGGTTTTCCCCCTCCCAAGGCCTGGTGGGGGGCGGGATGATCTCGTTGGGCCTCAACTGGGAATTCTCCTTCCCACCGGCGCCACCCATGAGCTTCATGCGCTATTTGCTCGCAGGACACCAACATTTCCCGGTCAAAAAAACATCGCCAAAAAAATATGGCATGACATGGCATGACCAAGAAGGTTGTGTGTTTTTTTTGGTGAATAGATCATCAAAGTAAAAATAGAGAATCACCATTTTTAATGGGTAAATCACAATTTTTAATGGGTAAATCAACTATAAATGGGGTATTTCAATAGCTATCTTAGTTTACCAGAGGGTAACTATGGGCAATTTTCGCAAAGAAGACGCCGGTAAATCCGAATCTGATTTTAGATGAATACATTCTATCGACTGGTTTATCATAGTTTTCCCTATTAAAGTGGCCATTCTCAGACACACCCATATCCCGTATGATCTTTTTACATCCCCATGAATATCAAAAAAAACCAATTTTGAATGGTTTTTTGATCTCACTAATGTTTGTAGAAAACGTAATCCCCAAACAGATAGACACAGGAATTCATCACTACTTTTAGTAGGATTCAGCTTTTCTATCTTTTTGGGGCTTAATGTATGTTTATCCCCACTGAAAAATCCCATCTTATGGTACCTGTATTATCCCATATTATCCAAAAAAATATCGCATCTTATATCATATCATATCCCCATATTATTTTACAATATACCACTAACGACGGATATAAGCTACTTAGTAAGTGGAATGAACTACCAAGTACTTATAGATATATCCCCTCTTATCTTCATTATTTATCACATATTAGTGTGGATATACTAATCCCCCAAAAGACAGAACCGTAATTCTTGATCCTATAAATATATTTCATCTGATCCGAAGATTATTCAAGAAAATATCATATATCACATTATCCCAACCCTATTTGAAAACTATATCCCCATATGATTTTACTATCTCCGAATTCGGACATCCCATCCCGCAGGAATTTCCGTGGGCATCGGCACTCGCGTGGGCAAAGGCTGCACCAGTGGCCATGGCATCTGCGGCCTGCCGCGCTTCTCCCTGAGAAGCTGGAGCGGTTTGAGATGGGGAAATTTTCATCCACAAAACGGGGCCAAAATTGGGCCAACAGGATGGTGCCAAGTTAGGTGTAGATTCACCCAGAGAAAAACTAGTTCGTTATATACCATAAACCAGAGTTAATTCAGCCACTTATAAGGGAACCGAACGCTATTTTGGGGGGCCCATCCTGTGTTTTTATATGGAATACCTGGATTTCATCCGAAGAATTGGGATATTCAACGATGTTATCAAAGCTGCGCGAAATGTGGGTTGATGATGATTATATCTGAACAACACGGGGGTTAAAAATTTGGGGGTTCACCAACAAACATTGGGATTTAAGGAGGAACCATGTGGAATTTGAGCTGGAACACCTCTGGATTTATGCCAAAAAGTAGATTGAAGATGATAAAACGTATTCGAACAAATTGGGATTTCAGCTGGAAAACCCTGGGGCTTTGACCTCTAAAGATATGCAACCCATGGGGATTTAATCATTAGTTGATAGAAGCATGTTGGTTTAACTTGCCATTTTTTGGGCCTCCGGTGGATACGTCAAATTCGGGGATTTCCTAACTAAATGGAGGTTGATAGCTGTGAAAATCATTCAACAACCCTCTGGTAAACGTTTACATAGCTATAGAAATTCACAGTTTATAGTTGATTTACGCAGTAAAAATGGTGATTTACCCATAAAAAATGGTGATTTACCCACTTAAAAATGGTGATTTACCCATAATAAATGGTGATTTACCCATAAAAAATGATGATTTACCAATTAAAAATGGTGATTTACCCATAATAAATGGTGATTTACCCATAAAAAATGGTGATTTACCCATTAAAAATTGTGTTTTACCCATTCAAAATGGTGATTTACCCATAATAAATGGTGATTTACCCATTAAAAATTGTGTTTTACCCATTCAAAATGGTGATTTACCCATAATAAATGGTGATTTACCCATTAAAAATGGTGATTTACCCATTAGAAATTGTGATTTACCCATTCAAAATGGTGATTTACCCATTAAAAATGGTGATTTACCCTTTAAAAATGGTGATTTACCCATTAAAAATTGTGTTTTACCCATTCAAAATGGTGATTTACCCATTAAAAATTGTGAAATGGTGATTTACCATGGTGATTTACCCATTAAAAATGGTGATTTACCCAATTCAAAATGGTGATTTACCCATTAGAAATGGTGATTTACCAATTCAAAATGGTGATTTACCCATTAAAAATGGTGATTTACCCATTAAAAATGGTGATTTACCCATTAGAAATTGTGATTTACCCATTCAAAATGGTGATTTACCCATTAAAAATGGTGATTTACCCATTAAAAATGGTGATTTACCCATTAAATCAACGATTTCTGGTATTTTCAATAGCTACAGTATGTTAGTCATTACCATTTAGGGTAAATGGTGGATGTTTCAAGCCAGGTTTCAGGAGGCCGGAGGCTACCAGAAACGTAAAAATCTCGGGGTTCAAGTCACGGGGGCGGAGAGATCACCCATTTTGATCCATGGATACCATTGGAATAGATGATTTACCTATCAAACGAGTGATTTTTCAAGAAAATGGTGGTTTAATATGGTTTAATATGGTTTAATGAGCTTTGAAAATAATTGGAGTATCATGGAATATATATATATACATATGTCTGGGTAAATTTCATCACGACCGAACCCTGTTCTCCCGAACCCTGGGAATCATGGTTTTTATAGGGAAATGATCCCCATTCATGGCCGCAAGATTCAGGTTAGTGAAATATTATGTCATTTACCCAGACTTTTGGACCTGCGAAGATAAGAAAAATCTTTAGTGAATGTCTTGAAGGTGCAGTTGGGGTTAGTGGGTCTAGCTATGGTTTTTTAAGCTCCAAGAGTTGGGATATGGGGCCCTTATTTTTCTCTGGGTATATATCCACCTATAACTGGAACTACACCCCCAAAGTACCTAAAATTGATTAGAAACTGTATAAAGATTTCTTTTCTTCATTTGAGGTGTTTCACATGGACTCATGGACTCCTGGACTGAACAAAGGGGATATCACCGAAGTTGATGAATCTCCATTCCATGGTCCAGATTACAATTACACCTACCTCTCGACGCAAGGTTGCTAGAAATAATGGTTAGTATATGTATATATATATATCACCTTATAACCCTTGGAAATTGGTTGATTTTATAATTGAAAATTATTAAATAGCTTATATACGACAACTATCTACTATTACTTTGCATATTATTTACAATATCTCCATGTATATCCAACTAATATTCCATGATATTCCCATCATACACCCATCAAACCACCATTTTTTAAAGTGTACTGTAAACAACCCATTCTATCGGATGAATTCCACTTAATTCCATACAATAAGTCATCATGTTTATCATCTATAAATGGACCATGGCTTCCATAGCAAAGTGTAAAATAACCAGACGATACAAGATACGTATCTCCATTATCCCTATTATATCCCCATTGTATTCCCATTAAACCGCCATTTTGTCTATTAAATCACCATAAATCATTTTTTATATCCTCATATCTAACCTCATTGAATCCACTTAAATCCAAATGAATTCCCATTCAATCATCCTTGAATCATCTCAAATCCCATAAATTCATGAAAAATTAAATATCATCCTCATCATGAAATCACCATCAATTAAATCATCTCAAATCACCATCAAATCCCATATTCTTCCATGATTTTTCACATTGCCCAGTGAAATCACCATGAAATCACCAGAAACTCGCCGTGAAAACCCTTTTATTTTTCCATTAACTCAACAATCCTTAATGGTGGAGGGTATGATGATTTTTAATGATTGATGATGATCTTTCCTGATTTAATGATGATTTTTCCACATTTCCATGATTCATTGGGGGTATGACCATACCTCCCAGCGAGATTTTTCCGCAGGATCTCAGTGCCGACCTTCATGGGAGTGGCAGCGGGCACCATCGCCATCACCCGACATGCCTTGAAGTCGGATGGCACAGGGTGCCTCGAAGCAGGGAAAAATGGGGAGAATCCCATGGGACATGGAGGACTTGATGGGAAAAACCCATGGGAAACGATGGGAAGATAGGGAAATCAGCGAAAAACCCATGGAGGGTGATTGGGGAGAATTAGGACTTGATGGGAAAAACCCATGGGAAACTCAGCGAAAAACCCATGGAGATTTTAGCTGGGAAAACCCTGCGATTTTTTCAAGGGAATTTTCAACATAATAAGATAATTAAGATCATCAAACATGGCTGGGAAATCCCCGAAACCATGGAGGTTCAAATCATCCAACTGAGGGATTTTCCAGCAAAACACTGATCGTACATGGGGAGAAAAGCTAACAAAGATGATTATGCAAACGATAATCGTATATTATTGGCACATTTGCTTCTTCCCAACTTGTTCTCAAACGTCAAGGGCAACAGACAATGATGGCAGAGAAAAGTAGCAGGACCTGTGCGCTTGAAGCGCTGCCGCTTTGAATTTTAGTGCTGTAGCCTCCAAGAAGCATGGCAAAGCAACATATCAATCATCCTGGTACCTCCTTGGAATCATTGGCTTTAGGAAATACCTAAAGTTTATTCTGACATGCAGAAACTGCATATTTTGGTGGGTTTTGGCTTTTATGTGTCCTTTTTGAGCAACAAGAACGAACACCCCTTAACACTTTCCTGCTTCATCTTCGTTCGCCACTGACTTGGCGGATGAATACCTTGCGTCATCGAACATATCAAGCTGGAAAATCCTCTATTGTGTTTCAATGGATAAGAATCAATACTGGTTGGTGGTTTGGAACATTTTTATTTTCCATAATATATGGGATAATCCTTCCCATTGACTTTCATATTTTTCAAGATGGTTAAAACCACCAACCAGAATAAATCAGCTCTTTATATATTATAACCCTATATCTGTAGCTTATATCATCAGGGATTTTCCAATTTGCCAGGTTTGATTTACCACAGGGTAATTTTGGCCGCCGAGGAAACGATCTCACCTGCTTGAGATGCTTCCTCCCTATGGCAACCAACCAATATATGGGTGACATGAAACAATAAACACATAAAACCGGCTTCAGGGTTCGCTCCAAGCTGTATATATACATATATATATAAAAGCTACAGATATAAGCTATATATATAATATATATATATGCTGCATATATATATAGATATGCACATAAAAGTAGGTAAATGGTAGTTCATCCTGGGTCTTCCTCCCGTATCTGGGCTTCTTTTTGCCCAGGTATAGCCCCAGGCTGGCAGAGTTGCAGTGGCCCCCACAGTGGGGGCACTTGGAGGGCCTTGAATCCCCAAGCTCGCTGGGTTTATTTCATGGAAAATCCGACCATAAAATTTTTGAATTGGATGATGGTAGCATACCCCCATTTTTTTCGGAAACCTCCGAATCTGTCGGGAAGATTGAAGATGTTTTTTAGTAGATTCAATAGATGTACCACCAAGATAGATGTCGAATGGGATCTTTTAGGCATTGATAGATCTGTTAGCACCATCATACCTTTATGGATTGGTACCCCGAAAACAACCAAGATAGATTTGGAAAATGGATGAACATGTTTATAAGAAGTGTTTATAGATGATTAGCCATAAGATATGATGATTTTCCGTATCGATGTTAGTTTACAGGAGGGTAAAGAATTGAATCTTGTGTTTTGGGTTGAACACGGGTCCAGATAGGTTCACACTGAACCTTACCAAAACCTGCGGCTGGCCGAACACATCTTTTCCAGAATTGTCCATCGAAACCGGATGGCGATCCCAAGCGAGAACACCGAAAATGGGGGATAGCCCGATAGCCCCCCCAACAAAAACACTCATTGGGTTTGATGGGAATCTATCGGATTTGAGGTCATGGATTACCAATCATTACTCAAATCCAATAGATTACCAATAGAGGAAAAAAGTGGTAATAATAGAAACATAGTATTGTTATAATGTTATAATAGATTGCCAATAATCCACTCATTATCGTAATCAATTGATGTTTGTTGGTACTTGGCGGCTCATCCCACTTAGTAAGTGGGTTATAACCCCAGTTATAAGTGGATTAACCCTACTTATCCCATGTAAATCACTGGGGTTATAACCCACTTACGATTCGTGGGATGAGCCACCAAGTAGCTCCTCATTTTCAGTCAACCCTCTACAGAATCTTTGGGCACATTCTGACTCCCGACGTTTGTGAAAAGATGGTGCAGACCAACAAGATCTACAAGCCATACACCACCTATTAAAAAACCCATATAGCACCCGGAAAACCATAGGAAAACCATAGGAAAACCATAGGAAAACCATAGGAAAATGGAGGTTTACCCTCTGGTAAACTAACATAGCTATTGAAAATGTCCATTCATAGTGAGTTTTCCCATTAAAAATGGTGATTTTCAATAGCTATGTTTGTTTACCAGAGGGTAACACCTATTAAAAAAAACCATATAGCACCTGGATCCTAAAAGGTTTCAGGCTGGTGAATTAGCATATAACACCGTAACACCTAAAAAGATGCCGAAACGTGTGAAACCAGGATGTTTGTCGAGTTGATGTCAGAAACCCGTTCCAGGTTTCCAAGGGTTGCTGATCCCACCGCCCTCAAAAAGCCATGGTGACCGAGTGGCGTTTGATATTGTTGGTTGTATACATAACTGCATATCCCATCTGGTTGGTGGTTTCAGACATGAATGGATTATTTTCCATTTCATAGAAAAGGGATGTCATCCGAAACCCATTGACTTTCACTCCATCATTTTTCAAGATGGTGAAATTGCACCACCAACCAGCATAGTATAATCATAGTGATTTCCCATAGTTTGGGATAGCCCTAATTCATAACCATAGTATAACCATAGTTATTGCACCACCAACCAGCCATGAAATATCAATGCTTGGTATATTCCGATTGGAGTTTCATCATTGCTTTTCGGGATGGGATTAACTGATTAACCTCTGTAGTTGGTGAGTTCTAAACCACTACTTTGTATCCCCATGAACATCACATTATCACCATATTTTTGATGCTTAAACGTATCAACACATCAGCAATCTCTAAGGGATTCTGGTGACCTCTGGCTGAGGTGGCAGTTTCCCCTGGGTGCCTTCCTGGGGTCGTTGTGCCTCATCGTGCTTTGCGTGCTGTTGCCCGACAAGTTCAAGATGTTTCCTGGCGCATGAAGGATGAAGGATGAAGCGGCTGGGGTGTGTTCGCGTCGAACTCGAATCTACAGTATCTAGCTATCTACCTGTCTACCCACCTATAAGTTTCATCTGCTTCTGCATCGACTTTCCCGTGCTTGGTGCAGTTCCACTAATAAGTGGGTGATATTTCACCCCAATTGTAGGACTTCTATCCCAACTTATAAAACACCCCTGGCCTGCACCCCCAAGTGGGTGAAACAAATCCCATGAATATCATCATGAAATATCCGGTCCGAGATCCCATGAAATCACCATGAATGTCATCATTAAATCACCATTTTTCTCACCATTAAATTGCATTAAGTCGCATGAAAGCCCATTCAATCACCATGATATCCCATTAAATCATCATTAAATCACCATTGTATTAGCATTGTATCACCATCAAATCACCCTTTTTCTCACATTTTTTTCGCAGGATATCCCAACCATTCACCGGCGCAGCCGAGGTTCATGTCGCCCTTGTCCTCCGGTCTGATCTTCGCCTTGGGTCTGGGTGCCTCTGGCATGACGAACCCCATGAAGGCGGGAACGGCCTCTGGAGTGTTCGGGGATTTCATGGAATTTAAGCCTCAACGTATGAGGAGATGTTTGTGGAGATAAGTGGATATCATAGTTTTAACCATCATAGAAATAGTTTTTTTTTAAAACTAATATGAGGATTGATGAATTTATGATATAACAGATAAATGATGATGGGTTCGGGGGTCATTTTCTACCATTTCTATATTGAGGATTTAAGAAACCACTTGGTTTTTATTGCCTTAACTTTGCTGGTAAAGTCTTGCAACTTTAGTTTTTTAGCTCATGAAAGGCAGGAACATTTGCCTGCAAAGTAGAAAACACCAGAAAAAACATACTCGTATCATCTCGTATCTACAACTTCCATAAATTCCCCATGTTTGTTTGACAAACCCCCAAATTTCCGAGTGACAGCATTTTTGGAAAAAAAAACCAGCCCAGTTCTTACCTCGAACCGGGGGAAAACAGTTCTCCTCGCCAGGTGATGAACTTCTTGGACTTTGGAGGTGGGTTTTTTTCGTTTTTTTCCAACGATTGTTTCCAGAAGGGCCAACGAAAAATCGGGGGTTGAAGCGGAAATGGGACACAACAAATATGGTAGGATGTTTAAATGATGTTCACCAACTATTGAGTGATTTAAATGTTGGATTTAAATGATGTTCGCCAACTATTGAGTGTTCACCAATCCATTTTTTTTCCCAGGATTGGATTTCACCTGAAATTTGGGCCGGGCCCGAAATTTCCGAGGTTATTGGGATCCATCCTTGGGCTTTGTGATGGGCTGTGGCATCTTCGTCCCTTGGTGCAGCGTCTCTCGAAGTTTTTGTTTCGGGTCGGACATGTTCGGATGATTTTCAGGGCAATTTTGGATGATTTTTGGGAAGTCAACGTGAACATTGGTGGGTGGATGAAATTGACATGACATGATTTTGATTTTTGAGAGATGGCAAGGATGATTTTGCTGGGAAATCAGAGGTGTACGTTGTGTACGCACACGGGGAGATTATCATCGATTTTCAGAGGATATTTCAGACAGTCGGTTTAGAGATATTTTCCGAAGCATAGATGATGGTTTCAAATTTTGGACACCCAAGATCTTTTCCTCTAGGGCTCAAGAGTAGTGGTAACGATAGTAATGATTATAATTATAGTGATAATGGTACTGATGAGTTGGTTTCTTAGTGGGGTAACTATGGTTTATGATGTTTATGGTAGATATAACTATAGTATCCATGAGTCCATGAGTGTATAAGCTAACACACATAGCTGGAGGGCCTCACCTTGTGCCTCATTCTATTGGTGGCGCCAGTTCCGAACATTGAGCACCGATGCCCTCACCACCCATCCACTAAGTGCATGGGAAAGTCCTGGTTTTGTGGGTGAAATGCACTCCATCCCTTGGTAATGACTAACAGTTCGCGAACTTGAAAATGGCCCAGTCGAAATAGTGGATTTACCCATTGAAAATGGTGGATCTTTCCGTAGTTATGTAAATGTTTACCAGATGGTAATCCTTGTTTCATTCTTTTTTTCTGCTTCAATCCCAAAAGAGTCCCAAAAGTGGTGCTGCCCTTTTTTCCCATTGTTTGATGGCTAAATCTCAATTCTTTTTCGCTCACGTTCAAGTTTTTGATGGTTTAATTTATCTTCCCATCAAATCTCCATTGTTTATGAAACTGGAAACCAGTTATTAGGTCCCAACTGTGATAACACTGCTGGTTGGTAAGGATTTATCTATCCCGCACTGGCATTTTTTAGCTTGGTGAATCCTTGTACTTTATCCAGATCACTGGTCGGATTTCTCCACATCTCATGGTGAAATTCTATGAACATTTCTATAGTTTCTTCTTTGTTGTTCAATCTCCATTCTTTATCTATTGAAGATCTGTCATCAAACATGGATAAACACCATGTTATCTATCACAAGCACGACATTTTCATTTGAATTCCCCCACTGGTTGCTACTTGGCCGCCATGAATCAGCCTGCAGATCAGCGGTCCAGCCTTCATTCTCGCCGAGCAGATGGGGAAGGCAGAGAATCCCAATCCAATGGGAGATCTTCAGAACCCTGAAACGGAGGTGCGTAAACGTAAGTACCATCTTTTTGGCCATATTTTCGGGGTATCTTCCCAGAAACATCCCAGAAATTTAGCCAAAAAAAATAGGCATGATATTAATGGTACCTCCAATTGGTCGGTTCCTGGCCAGCATGGCCAGTGATCAACTTCAGCGGCATCATTGCTGGGATAATCCTCAAGCCACGGCAGTGACGACACCTATTAATGTCGACCCCGGATTTTGCTAAACCATGGTTTATGAAAATTAGGGAGGTACTCCCCCAATTTCGTCATGATTTGATATTTAAATGGTACCTTCCCTTTTTTTAGCCGCCGTTTGGGGTTTATTAATCCAGGGCTGACATTCATTTACACATTGTTGCACATATTATTACTTACTGCAGTTGAATTGACAACACCCATCGGTTCAATGAGCCTGTGTGAAGTCAACAAACCACCTTAATGTTCTGAACACCTCCAACAATTCTTACTGGTGCTTAGTAGGGAATGGATGGGAATGGGGGTTGCTGGGATTATTATTGATAGTTATGGAATAAATGGTCCCAAACAAGTGATTTCATCCTCAAGTTTCAGGGGATCATCATCGAACTGGGCATCCCGTTCCGGATCCGTCCCGAAACGGTTTCCAGGGACGATACAATGTGTTGTGCCATGGCAAGGTCAGTCGTTAGTTGGATACGGTTCATTGATGTTCATTGCAGGACGTATTTTCATGGTATTTTCATGGGATATGGATGGATACTTTGCAGGAGATAACCAGCTTGATGATGAAACGTTGGATGCCGAACTATCGCCGTTTGGGGGATGGTCATTCCCATTACCATTCTGCGATGCCCATACCACTGAGGATAGAGCTGATCATGGGATACAATATATATATATTATATATATATACATAATTATATACTGTACATACATAATTTATATAACCATAGATATGTCCTGGTCACATGACTATTGTACTTTTGAGTTGGCGATCTCACACATTGGATGGTTGCTCAGTATTTATGCCTAGCAGTCGGAAGATCGCTGGAAATCTAGAGCTACCTCGAAGGGACGAGACCACCCCAAGCATGATCGGTGGTATTATCATCACTACTGGAATCACATACCATGTTATAATGTATATGATAATTTAAAAAACTGCCTTGAGTTGCTTCGTGCTATTTATTGTTTGACTTTTTTGGATCTGTTTTCAGCAACGGTTAGGCCCATCTACACCCATTGAAAAAGAATGGTCTGGCTATCACACTGATCCCAGTTTGAACATCTTGACTGCATGGCAGATGTAGCGTGGACTGGACAGTGATTTCAGAAAAAAAAACAGTCACAGTCCCTTTCACGCGCTTTTTTGGCAAATGCCGGGGAAATTTGGGCTATTCCCATCCCCCGGTTTATATTTAATTATTAAACACCCAACCATGGTTCTTTGTTAGGATTTACACATCGTTGGATCCAAAAAAGGGGGTGTTAGTTAATATTGGGATGGGAGGGGATCAATTGGTGTTCCATCAGTCTCGGCAGGTGACTGCACCCCTGGTTGAGGGCTGCAAATTCGAGAGCCCACCGAAGAAGGGGAACTATCTGCCACTGGTGATTGGTGTCTTGGCCCGTTGCGTTGCGTTGCGATCTCACCGGCGATGCGAACATGAATTTTTGGGGCTCAAAACGTGAGATCGACCCCAATCACTTGAACCCCTAGGCCCCAGATTGATAACTTATTGGGATGTGTGACTCGGGCGGTAGCAACTTAGTAGCATATGACATCAAAAGAACTAGGGCCCGCATTAAATGGAGGTTTTAATGGAAAACCATCTGAATGGAACATGTTTTGTTGCTATGTTTG